TGAAGCTGTGAGTAATAGTATCGGAAATGCAAAATCCCTCGCCCAATAAAAACACAATCGGCACGTCCGGTTCTCCTAAGTCATCCACTCACTGCAACCCGTCTTTGATAGGTCGTAGGCGTCGTCATAGCCGGTGCTATCTTATCTTGGTTTAGTTAACCCGTGTTGCCTAAGGTTTGTCCCCCATTGGCCAGTGATTTTCCCTGATCTAAAGCTCTATTCGGCCAGGGTATGCACAGCATTAAAACTTCTCGGAATAATTGAGGGGGTGTTTTGAATTGAAATTCCGTAGGCGCAGAGTCAGCGCGAATTATTATTTTTGGCCAGGATGCATAAACAAATCGCGGGAATCGCACAAATCACACGATGTGCTCAATATGCACCACACAGACACACTTTTGACAGCTGCATTTGTTAAAAATTATAAACAATAATTGCCGATATATATATATTGTAGTACATTTCTTTCAAAAAACACTTGGTGGCGGTTGCACGGCGGCGACGGCGACGAGCGAAGAAGCCAGCACCTCCATTCGCTTTCGAGTTGTCGTTGCGACTGAGCAATCGAGCGACAAGTTGGTAGCGAACAAGTGTCGGTTGGCTGCTGCTGCTGCTTTGTACCGCCGCTGCCTCTACCGCTGCCGCCTCTACCGCTCGACTTCGTTGCTCGCATTTCCAGTTTACAGCCGATCGAGCGAGCAGGCGAACGCTGCGAATTCGCCGCACCATGCGTGCACCCAATTGATGGCTTGTAATTTAAATAAAAAATGATTGAAATTGAAAACGATCAACGACAATAAAACAAGAGGATAGCGGAAATGCGAGCAAACGACATTTAAGAATACTATTCCTTATCTTTTCGTTTGATTTTCATATTTGGGATGCGTTTTTCGGCCACTTCCGCGTTGCAAGATGTCACCAACATTTGAGTAATGAGCCGGGACAGGTCGATTAATCTGCTGCTGCTGTTGTTGTGGTTCATGAACACTTAGCCAGCGTGTTTTATGGCAAATGCAAAAGGTTAATAAACAATGACAGCAGCGGCGGTGGGTATGAAAACGTCACTTTATCGACAAAGAAAGCGGTCGCTGCTAGTGGCGTATAAATTACAAAATGCGACTCTGATTAAGACAACTCCCCAAGATGCTCTTGCTGCAACTGCCTAAAAAGGCCACGCCAAGTGTATTAAACAATAATAAATGCGACAACGTCGCGCCTCAAGTTATCCGTTGTTTTGAGTAATATGCAAATACGCTTTAAATACGCAGGCGCATAAATTACGGCAAGGAAATGCAGGGGACAACCCGCCAGGATCCGCCAGATCCGTCGCCCACGTCCACAAGCCTCCCGAAGGGGGTCAGCACAAAGAAATCGGTGAATCCGCATTAATTTACAGTAAGCCGACTGAAGAGGATGACTCTTCACTTGCAGGAACCAGCGAAGATTTCACTTGCCATATATGGCCGAATGTTAATTTGTCTCTCTTAGTGCTCCTGCTGCTCGAGCTGCACTTCTTTATGGAGCCATGGAACATAAAAGACACGACCGTTTACAAGTCATTGAAAGAAAGCGAGTTCCAAGGAGCACAGACAGCTGCGTGGGCAGGACACTCTGGCTGCCTCAGTACTGACAGCTTGGGAAATACCCGTGGATCAGTAGGCAGAGCCAGTTTATATAGACAACTCTCGAGTCTTTTCGAAAGGTTTCCCACCGGGGGAAGTTTCCTTATTCACACCTAGCAAGATATTTTGGGTGACTTGTTGTTGTCGACGAAGGTGTGGAGACACCTATATAAAATATACTTCCACTTCAACGGAAACAAAAGAAGAAATTGCGTATATATTGATAATTTGGGTTCCTCTTACAAATACAGTTTTTGGTATATGTTTTCCATTGCCATTCAATCGAATCGAAATGATGCCGAAAATTATTAGATATATAAAATCTTGTTAAATAATCTCATTCTAGTTTTTGAGTTCAAGGTGCAAAAGTAAATAAATCTTTTGGTTTTCTTTTTCAATGGTTTTTATATTTGATCAATTACAAATTCGTATTGGTTTACAATTCGCTTTCTAAAGCTTGAAAGTTTAAAAGTTATTAATCAAGCTATTCGAAAGAGTTCACTAATAAATTCCAAATTTTAATAAAATTTAATTAAAAATGGAAAATGGAAAATTAGGGAATCGAATGGCGCAAAACAAGAGAGTTTTGTGAATATTTTGATAATAAATTGACGAAGGCGGTCAAAAGACCGTAAAATTAACAAAACCAGTGACCAAATGTTGTTTCCATCGAAAAAGTTTACACATAGGGTAATAAAATCCTTTGGCAAAAGCAAGAAGTTATTTATAGAAATCAATGCCCAATTCAAATCAGTTCCTTTGGAATTGTTTATCAATAGGGTAGCATATGTTAGCCTATTGCCTGGGCAAAATATACAAGATTTTGGTCGCATGGAATCGATTTTCCGCCATGACCCGTTGATAGGGTCTTGCCTATACATAAATCTGATTTACTTACGTGGGCTCCTTGGATATCTGGGCCTTCTTGGCATCGAGTTCGTGTCGCCTTCGCTTGGCCGCCGATCTGGTGTGATGTGTGTTGGTGATGCGCGGCCTTTGGGTAATGGAAACAATGGGTACGATGAGTACCGAGATGCCTTGGGCCTGCGAGATGGGTGAGTAATCCCTCACACAGCTCGAAGAGCATCCCGAGAATATCGGAGAATATTAGACGAAAAACTTACGGCGATGGGGCCTCAGCTAGGGGTGGCGAATGATCCGCAGTATCGTGTCGTCGGCGTTTGTCTCGCGTGCCTGCCGAGGAGCGATCCCTTGAGTGGTGGAGTCTCCGTGTTCTGGGCATCTGAAAAATAGTATACACACATTGTCAGTCAGTGGGTTATTTCGTTGGTGTTCGGGGCATCTGGGAGATACCTATATGAGAGATATAAAAGCTTAAGACTATTACATATATATACGTTGATGAACTGTAAAGAAACGGGTGGTGTGAGCACTTAGAACACCCCCTATTACCACCCCCCCTGCAATCTGTTCCCACCTAGAGGTGAGTACAGTACGGAATACAGCTGGCACGCACACTCACACACACGCGGGCGCAAACCAAATTGCAATGTATTTACGTGTTGGTGTTGGTGCGTTGGAAAAACAGACCACAAATAAAACCCAAAAACAACTAACTTTCGCATTTTAATTCGCCAACAATTAAGCCATCTACCTTGCAATTTGCTGTTGATTTTTTTCCGAGCGCGAAAATTGATTTTTGTTGTAGGCTGCGGTCCGCTGGCTTTGCTTTGGTATTGTTGTTGCTTGGCCAAAGCGTCGCTGTTTTTGTTGTTGCTTTTGTGGTGCTGTTGCTGCGTTTGCAATAGACGCAGTTGTTGTCCTGCAAATCCTGGAGTCTATTTAGAGTTGCTAACACTTCCTGGGCTGATAGCACACTCTAAATAATGTGAATTTGCTTTGGAAATCGTGTTTTTTTCTCACAATTCACGTCACTTGGTATTTTATTCACCACGTCTGTGAGGCAGTGTTGGGTACTTTTGCCAACAATGTTGAAAAGTGCTGACGGCAAAGGGTTGTCGAGTTTAAGAAAAAATTTCCCCACACAACACGTTTTGAACAATTTTTAATCTAAAACGGCAGTTTTTCAAATAAGGCGTTTTTCAAAAAAAAAAAATAATAATAAATAACAATAATTGATATTTTTTTAGGTGTGTAACTGATATATTGCTTATATTTATTTTCTCAACTATTCTGGGTGTCCTAGTCTGCAATAAAAAATATGTGCAGATTTTATAGTCTTTCAGAATATTCAACAGCAGTTGCGGAGTGTTCAAACTACATATATACCAAAGAATTTTTCGTTTTTATCTATCGTTTGCTTACGAGGGTCGGCAACTCTGGTAACGCAGCGTGCTGCGACATCAGCTGTTTACACTCACGTTTATGTCTGCGCCTGTATGAGTGCCTCAAATCCGTGGACAGGTAGCATTTTTTAGATATCTTGTTTTTGGTTTTTTCACTATCTTACTAAGCATTTTCATATCTTGTTTTGAATTTTCAGCTGGCTTACCTCTTCGTTTGCGTGTCGCTGCGTAGTACTTTCTAGGGGCGGGGCCAGAGGCGGCGCTGGCAGGGCTAAAAACGGCGAACGAGGCAAATACAAGCGATGCCACAGGCCGCTCAAAAGTTGCGTTAGCGATTGCCAGGAGAAGTTTGCTTTGCCGTTGTGCATGAGTTTGTCATTAAACGGGGGCAGTTGCATGGGTTCTTGCCTTCTGTTTGTCCTTAAACGCGGGTTTTTTTTGCCTCTTTGTTGGCTCTTCACCACTTGTTTTTTGGCGCCTTTTTACGCTTGCTGCGCGTAATCCATCTCTAACAGCTTCTTGACGACTTGCATACCCGCCTGGCGTTCGCCATTTGGTTTGGCTGCCTTTTGTTATTAGCCTAGAGAATAACTAATGTAATTAATACGCGCGAAATTGCAACGGATTAAAATTGAATTGCATTTAGCAGAGCGCGTCAACGGTGTGGCCAGAGGCCATTAAAAAAATCCATCGTGGGAGAAAACAGTGTTGGTAAGTGTGTTAAGCAATTAAAGTTGCCACCAAGTTTAAAAGATGAAATATAATGCGCGGCTAATTTCAAATGCATATTTAAGTTTGAGCCCGACAATTTTAAAAAAAGTAAAAACGGTTTAATTTTAATTTGTGGCCTAGCTCTAACATATTAAAAAAAGCGCTTACTAAATAAGGGTAATTATGGCGGACAAAACTTAAATTCGACAAATTTTGAAAATAGAGGTCCCATAAAAATATATGTACATTTCATGAGAGCATAAAGCTTACACTTTAATGTTCTCAAAAAAAGTTAATTTCTTTAATTAATAGCTAAGCAAAACAGCTGACTGCCTCGTGTTCAGAACTGCGCCTGCGCTGCTTTGGCGCCCAATAAAAATACGGGGTCCAATTCATTCAATTGCATAACAATACGCAAGGAAAAATAGCGGTATCGTTATCGTGTGCCCACGCTCAGTCAGATATTGACGTGCCTGTCCCAACGGTCGTGTGCGCGGATTGCCCCGACTCCGCTTCCCGCGTTTTATAGTTGGAAAAAGTGTTCATCTACCCGGGATATACTCTCCATTTCATCCGGCAAATGCTCAGAGCGGCGATCGAATGGATAAATAATTGAGGGATATAGAGTATGCCCCGCCTACGTAACAGTTGCAATTCGAGTGAAAAACACTGTTCATAGCATCGGTTCAGGATTCCAGACCCACAAATCCGTAGCCCTTAAAGTTTTGGTAGGCGTATTCGCTTCCAGAATTGTCTGCGCGTCCCATGGCAGAAGTGAGTATTTTTATTGATTTTTTCTCGGGCCCAGGAGATGGTATTTGTGGCCTAATCCGAGACTCGCGTGATTCGCATGGAATATTCAATTACACACACACGTACACACCACTCACTGGCAAAATGGCGCAGGCCTTTTTGGGTCACGAGGCTGCTGTGCGAGTGTGTGTGTGTGTGTATGTTGACATTGTCCAGGTCTCGTTTTCGTTTTCCCTTTCGCACACACCAGCACGTGCTTTTTTTGGCCAACAAATACGTAACATTTCGGCCGCCGCAAATAGACGATCCATAATTCATGACGTTGCCTTTTGCTTTCAGCTCGGGCCGCTGCTGCTGGCTAGCTAGAGAACCGGAAACGGAAACGGACACGCAATCGGAACCGGAACTCGAACTGGAACTGAAACTGGACCCGAAACCGAAACCAAAACCGTTACCGCTACCGATTTTGCAAAGGATCGACGCTATTAGCAAGGCATGGACACCGCTGCCGCCGCCGCCGCTGCAGTCGCCGTTGACCTGAAACCCGATCACCAGCTCCTCGGCAGTTCCACAAAGTCCAGGATTGTTGGAGGAGGAAGAGGAGCTAGTGGAACTGGATGCGATTGCCTGGGAAGCACCGTGGAGACCATGTCAGTTACGCCGCCACCAACGCCGCCATCGCGCGCCTGTGATGTCCATGTCGAGCCCGGTGTACCCAGTGCCCACGCCGAGGCTCATTCCAAGAACGGTCTGAAGGGCAAGGAGGCGCCCGAAATCGCAACGGCAGTTACTGAACCCGCTCAGCCGGATCTGCCTGCCACATCATCAACGTCTTCCGCCATAGCTTCCAAAACGCCAACGTCTGCCTTGCCGGGATCGGGTTCGGGATTGGGACTGGGATCCGTAGCGGCAGCAACGGAACATCCTTCAGCTGCAGCCCCACCAGTGCCCAGCAACGGTAGCAACAGCAGCAGCAGCAGCAGCTCGGTTCCCGGATCCGGCGAGAATGTGGTCCAGCTGCTGCCCTGGCAGGATATGCCCACGTATCTGCAGTTCAATCCGTACGTGCTCCGGGGATATCGACCCCTGCAGACCTTCAAAGGATGTCTCCTCAGTCTCTTTTACTGGCACAACGAGACCATTAACATACTGACACACGGTGAGTGCCACCTGCTTCTCTGTTCCGCTTCCACTTGCACTTCCGCTTCCCCTTGGGTCCAACTGCACCCAGTTGCTCATTTATCGATCCGGCCGCGTCTCGCTGCCCGTAACAATCACGGTCAAAGCCAATGGAGGCACGTAAATAGATTAGGTCGGCATTTCTAATGAACCTTGACTGAGGTTGGCTTGGACATGCATAAGAAAGTAGTCGTCTATAGATAGCATTCCACACCTAAAGGTATGGCAATATCAAAAGACTTTTGATACCTTTAATATTTTGGAAGTGACTATTCATAGTCATTTTCATAGCTAAGTAAACAACATAATGTAGCATTTAGTTTCAATACAGTAATACACCCCTCTATTACTAAAAGCCCCCTTTTGCTTACAAAAGTTAATAGTAATAGTAATCAAAACGGGATACGAGTTTTTAGTTCTTTTAATAATATATATATAAAACAAAGGAAATTACGAGCTTTTCAAAACATATTTTATTTCCAACTCTATTATTTGACTTTATTATATGACAACTTAATAACAAATTTAACAAAACTTGGCCAAACCAAAATTCAGATAGTTATTAAAAAAAGTCTTGGGTTAACCCTTCTAGTAGAGTATGCATTTTTCGCCGGGATTCATGGCGGAGCCGGCTGGACAGTTGAACTCTTTGGAGAACTCATCAAAGTTCGATAACGAGCCAATAACGCGAAACTTTCCTGGCATGTGCGAGTCGGTGGATACTTGAAGGGCCTTTACACTTGGATGCGCATCGTTGCACCAGATCTGAGCAAAGCTGATGAAGAAGATCTGCTTGGCAGAGTACCGCAGGCCGGGCAGTCTTTCCTTGGCCAGATCCTGGCTGCCATTGCTCAGTGCCAGTTGGGACTCGTACCACTTCCGGTAGGCGGTGTAGGCCAGACGCATGCCCCCGTTGTCCGCAATGTTCTCCGCCTGCGAAGTGGACTCCTTGAGCTGAATGCCATCGTAAACATACTTTCCATACTGCTTTGTGAAGCATTCCCTGCGTTTCAAGAAGTTGCTGCTGGACTGTTCGTCCCACCAGTCGTTTGAGTTTCCTTTGGCATCAAACTTTCGTCCACTGTCGTCGAATCCATGGATTAACTCATGTCCAATTAGGGAGGCCAAGGTGCCGAACATCACCGCATTGGGATAGACATCGGCCCAAATGTAGAAGGGTTGTAGAAGGGCAACTGGAACCTTGATGATGTTCTCAATCAGGATGTTGGCCGGAGTGTAACTAAGCTGAGAGCCCGCCTCAAATGGTTTGGCCGGCTTGTGGAGCATCTCGCGCATCTGTTTTGCGGCAAGCAGACTCGTCTGACGCACATTCTCTACGTAGTCGGCACTCTGCAGATTGAGATCCTCGAACTCTTCGGTAAAGTTATCCCCGGCGTAGTTGTTCACCTCCAGCTTCATGGCCTGCAGCTTGGCGATGGCCAAGTTCCTTGTGGGTCGCTCGATCCAGTTCAGTGCCGGACTCGAATGCAGTGTCTCATTAAAGGTGGCTTTCAATTGACGCCACATGTTTTCGATTTCTCTGGAGGACTTGTCGTTGTTGTAGCGACGGTAGAACATGTTGTCCAGGTTCTTGGCAAACACTTTTTGGTGAGGTCCACGCAGGCCTGTTTCTGCTTCTCCGGATTGTCGGCTGGCGTCTCCACAAATTCCCAAACCAGCCGGAAGAACATATAGTTCGCTATAGTACGCTTTGGTGTGCGCTTAATGACCTCGACCAGGTTTTGCTGATAGGGTTTGTTGTATTCGTAGATTTCATCAGAAACTCGCTCTCCCATGCTCACAAATATAAGTCGTTCAATGTCCAAAGTGGGGGAATATCGCTTTTGGATCTCCCTCACAGTCAGTAGCTCGGTCAACTCACTTATTCCGAGTCCTTTGCTATCGTCGACGAGTCCTTGTGCCAGGTCCACCTCGAAGTCCATTAGTTCCTTGGCCGTCTGTTTAGCCAGATCCAACTTCACGCCCAGGAATCGCTGCAAGGTGCGTTGGATGTTATTACGATATTTCTGACGGTATATGGCCGTCGCGTTGTCCACGTACATGGACCTCGCCTCAAGCAGGAATTCCTGCTGCCCCAGGTATATCCGGTTCCTTTGGTTGCTGGCCAAGTCCTTGCTAACTTCAACGCCCAAAACGGGCGCTATTCCATAACGAAAAGACATGCGTGCTGTGGTCCCCAGCCAATCGAAGTCCGCCTCCTGCCAGGAGGAGCCCTCTAACACCGGCATCGTTCCGAACTCGGCGATTAGCTGCTTTAGCTTTTGGGTGTAGGTGGAGTTGAGCTCCTTGATCCGGAGGCAGGACTCATAGAAGTGCTTCACCTGAACGTCCTCCGGAGTGTCGTGGGTGTCATGCGCCGTGTTGAGCATCTTCAGAATCTTTCGATTTAGACCGTTGGTCAAAGTCTCGAATACTCCAGTCGTAACCACTTGCATGCTTCGAGCTGAGTTGATCCGTTCATAGTTACCGCAGGCAAAAGTGTAGAAGTCACTGCACGGATCGGCCTTCTGGTTCATGAAGCTTTCAATCTCGGCGACCTTGGCCTGTCGCAGCAGCTCCCTGTTGTAGGGTGTGTCCTGGTTGAGATCACTCTCGCCGGTGGGCTTTGCCCATGTTAAAGCTATAAATGCGTGGCCTATGAGGCAAATATGTAGGATTTGCATCGCGTTGTGCATCGTTTCAGTTGCAAAAATCGACTGGCGGACCGAGTTCATCGCCTTCCCCATTAACGCGAATCGGATTATCTGTGCTAGCAAAACAAAATCCGACCCTGGGGTTATCGCCAGCACTCTGATGCACCGCTCTTTCAAAAAACACTGGAACTTATTCGCTCATTGCTGATTACAAATAGATGCAAAATGGTTAGCTTTCCATCTCTCTGGGCAATCATACAATTTAGAGTAGCTTTTATGTTAATACAAAATTCAACTGGCCAATAATTTATTTCGAGATAGATATTCTTCTAAATATATTAAAGAAAATCAACTATGTATGTCTTAGATGACAAAATTAAGCTTTATTAACATAAACACATTTATAACTTTCTTAAGGATAACAAGAAATATTCCTTAAAGTTTGAATTCAGAGAATTTGCAATACAAAGTGCACATATATAAACGTACTCATTTGCTTAATATGTAAAAGAAAACCCACAACATCTGTTTGGGATCACAAAATTAAGCTTTATTAACATAAATACATTTAAACCTATGTTGAGGTGTTAGAAATGTTGACCCCGAAACACTATTAAGAACTTTACACAGAGACTTTATTATACAAATTGTGCATATATGAATATTTTCTTTAATTAGAGTATAAAAATGGTATAGTTATTAGTCAGGAAAATTTAATAAATTATGACGGTAGTTTATTTCTCTGAAAAACCAATATAGTCAAGGTACAAAAGGGAAACGGATCACATTAAATATATAGTAAATGGATGCCAATGCCCATATTGGACCAGCTTAAATTTATTAATTATATATTGCGCATTTTAAAAGCATATTTAACAACAAAAATATTTGGATATAAACAAAGCGTATTAGAGTAATGATTTTAATTCGCAAGTAGTACTAAATGTTGGTCAAAAGGTTGAAATATTGAACATATTCGATATATTTCATAAAGACTTGATTGTCCACTATTCGTTCGATTTAAGAATTTGAAAAAAATTGTTCTTTAAAAAGACTGCTTGTTAATGTGTAAATATTCAAACTTTATTATATTTAAGTTAAATGAGCTTTGTTATATGATGAAATATTTTCAAAAACATTTTAGAACTCAAACCATTTGATCTATCTAGTAAAGAATACACTTCTTGCTTGGATTCATTTGTGATCCAGCCCGACAGTTGAACTCCTTCGAGAATTCATCGAAATTCGATAGTGTTCCAATAACGCGGAGGTCATCGGGTACGTGGGTATCGGCGAATACCTGTTGTACCTTTAATTCTGGAAGAAGGTCGTTGCATAAAAACTGGGCAAAACTTATGAAAAATAGTTGATTGCCTGTGTACTGCAGGTTGGGTAAACTCTCATTGGCCAGATCCTGGCTGCCATTGCTCAGTGCCAGTTGGGACTCGTACCACTTCCGGTAGGCGGTGTAGGCCAGACGCATGCCCCCGTTGTCCGCAATGTTCTCCGCCTGCGAAGTGGACTCCTTGAGCTGAATGCCATCGTAAACATACTTTCCATACTGCTTTGTGAAGCATTCCCTGCCTTTCAAGAAGTTGCTGCTGGACTCTTCGTCCCACCAGTCATTTGAGTTTCCGTTGGCATCAAACTTTCGTCCACTGTCGTCGAATCCATGGATTAACTCATGTCCAATTAGGGAGGCCAAGGTGCCGAACATCACCGCTTTGGGATAGACATCGGCCCATATATAAAAGGGCTGCAGGAAGGCCACCGGCATTCTGATAGTATTTTCAGTAAATGTGTAGGCTGGCGTGAAGCTAAGTTGCTCGTCCTGCTCTGGCGGTTTGTCGGCCTTGTGAAGCAACTCGAGCATTCGCCTAGCGTTTACTAGCTTGACCTGCCGAACATTCTCAACGTAGTCGGCACTCTGCAGATTAAGATCAGCGAGCTCTTCGGTGAAGTTAACCTCGACATAGTTGTTTACCTCCAGGTTCATGGCCTGCAGCTTGGCGATGGCCAAGTTCCTTGTGGGTCGCTCGATCCAGTTCAGTGCCGGACTCGAATGCAGTGTCTCATTAAAGGTGGCTTTCAATTGACGCCACATGTTTTCGATTTCTCTGGAGGACTTGTCGTTGTTGTAGCGACGGTAGAACATGTTGTCCAGGTTCCTGGAAAAGTACTTTCTAGTGATGTCCAAGCAATCCTGTTTCTGCTTCTCCGGATTGTCGGCTGGCGTCTCCACAAATTCCCGAACCAGCCGGAAGAACATATAGTTCGCTATAGTACGCTTTGGTGTACGCTTTATGACCTCGACCAGGTTTTGCTGATAACGTTTGTTGTATTCGTAGATTGTGTGGAAGTCCCTCTCTCCCATGCTCTCAAAGATTAATCTTCGGATGTCCAAGTGGGGTTTATAACGCTCGTGCAGTTCAGAAACGGTCAGTCGCTCGGCCAAGTCCCCAAAGTCTAGGTCTTCCTTATTGTCCACCATACCTCGGGCTAGATCCACCTCGAAGTCGACCAGCTCCCTGGCCGTCTGATTCGCCAGTTCCATTTTCAGACCCAAAAATCGCTCAAGAATGAATTGGATATTTACTCGAAGCCTGTCACGGTATATGGCAGTTGCGTTTTCCACGTACAAAGACTTCTCCTTTAGCAAAAAGTTCTGCTCCGCCACGTAGATCATGTTTTTCTTATTGCTAGCAAAGTCCGTGTCAACCTCTGCACCAAAAATTGGGCTTATTCCATAACGAAAAGACATCCGTGCTGTGGTCCCCAGCCAATCAAAGTCGTTCTCCTGCCAGGAGGAGCCCTCTAGCACCGGCATCGTTCCGAACTCGGCGATCAGCTGCTTTAGCTTTTGGGTGTAAGTCGAGTTGATCTCCTTGATCCGGAGGCAGGACTCGTAGAAGTGCTTCACCTTAATGTCCTCCGGAGTGTCGTGAGTATCGTTTACAGTTTTGAGCATCTTCAAAATCTTGCGATCAAGGCCTTCCATCAAACTATAAAACGGTCCAGTCGCGCTTACCTTCAGGTTTGAAGCAGAGTTGAGGCGACTATAATTGCCACAGGCAAAAGAGTAAAAGTCGTTGCACGGATCAGCCTTTTCATTCATGAAGCTCTCTATCTCGGCGGCCTTGGCATGTCGCAATAGTTTCTTGATGTACGGTGTGTCCTGGTTGAGACTATCCCCGTCGGTAGGCGCTGCCCAGGAAAGGGCACTGAGCACGAGGCCTATTAGGCAAATGTAGAAAAATAATAGCATCGTGTTGTGCTTCGTTTTAATTCCGGTGACCGACTGCCTTGACTGAATTAATAAGCTCTAGAGCTGCCGAAAAATCGAAAGGTGAACCCGGGGTTATCGCACGCCATCTCTGCTGTCTCCGACAACTTAATGATTTGTAAATTTTTTTTCGAAAGGTATAGTCAAAGTAATTTAATAATATAAAATTAGCTCTTTCAGCTAGGGTTTTCCATTTGTTTTAACATTAATGTATTGTGTATTATTTATTACTCAAATTTAGCAAAATTTAAAACTTGAATTATAATATTAAATATGTTTGATTTTTTGAATTTAAGAGTATTATGTAAGGTGCTTTATTGAGTGTAACAAGTTTATTAAGGGATGTTGAATTTTACTTTAATAATATGATTATTAGTTCTGTTAGCCCTCGAGCCCTCCATCTCTAGTAGATTATGCACTTTACGACAGGATTCATGGCTGAGCCGGCTGGACAGTTGAATTCTTTGGAGAACTCATCAAAGTTCGATAACGAGCCAATAACGCGAAACTTTCCTGGCATGTGCGAGTCGGTGGATACTTGAAGGGCCTTTACCCTTGGATGCGCATCGTTGCACCAGATCTGAGCAAAGCTGATGAAGAAGATCTGCTTGGCAGAGTACCGCAGGCCGGGCAGTCTTTCCTTGGCCAGATCCTGGCTGCCATTGCTCAGTGCCAGTTGGGACTCGTACCACTTCCGGTAGGCGGTGTAGGCCAGACGCATGCCGCCGTTGTCCGCAATGTTCTCCTCCTGCGAAGTGGACTCCTTGAGCTGAATGCCATCGTAAACATACTTTCCATACTGCTTTGTGAAGCATTCCCTGCGTTTCAAGAAGTTGCTACTGGACTCTTCGTCCCACCAGTCATTTGAGTTTCCTTTGGCATCAAACTTTCGTCCACTGTCGTCGAATCCATGGATTAACTCATGTCCAATTAGGGAGGCCAAGGTGCCGAACATCACCGCATTGGGATAGACATCGGCCCAAATGTAGAAGGGTTGTAGAAGGGCAACTGGAACCTTGATGATGTTCTCAACCAGGATGTTGGCCGGAGTGTAACTAAGCTCAGAGCCCGACTCTAATGGTTTGGCCGGCTTGTGGAGCATCTCGCGCATCTGTTTTGCGGCAAGAAGGAACGTCTGTCGCACATTCTCTACGTAGTCGGCACTCTGCAGATTGAGATCCTCCAAATCTTCGGTAAAGTTAACCTCGGCATAGTTGTTCACCTCCAGCTTCATGGCCTGCAGCTTGGCGATGGCCAAGTTCCTTGTGGGTCGCTCGATCCAGTTCAGTGCCGGACTCGAATGCAGTGTCTCATTAAAGGTGGCTTTCAATTGACGCCACATGTTTTCGATTTCTCTGGAGGACTTGTCGTTGTTGTAGCGACGGTAGAACATGTTGTCCAGGTTCTTGGCAAACACTTTTTTGGTGAGGTCCACGCAGGCCTGTTTCTGCTTCTTCGGATTGTCGGCTGGCGTCTCCACAAATTCCCAGACCAGCCGGAAGAACATATAGTTCGCTATAGTACGCTTTGGTGTACGCTTAATGACCTCGACCAGGTTTTGCAGATAACGTTTGTTGAATACGTAGATTTCATCAGAAACTCGCTCTCCCGTGCTCACAAATATAAGTCGGTCGATGTCCAAAGTGGGAAAATACCGCTTTTGTATCTCCCTCACAGTCAGTAGCTCGGTCAACTCACTTATTCCGAGTCCTTTGCTATCGTCGACGAGTCCTTGGGCCAGATCCACCTCGAAGTCCATTAGTTCTTTGGCCGTCTGTTTAGCTAGATCCAACTTCACGCCCAGGAATCGCTGCAAGGCGCGTTGGATAGAATTACGATATCTCTGACGGTATATGGCCGTTGCGTTGTCCACGTACATCGACCTCTCCTCAAGCGGAAATTCCTGCTGCCCTAGGTATATCCGGTTCCTTTGGTTGCTGGCGAAGTCCTTGCTAACTTCAACGCCCAAAACGGGCGCTATTCCATAACGAAAAGACATCCGTGCTGTGGTCCCCAGCCAATCGAAGTCGTCCTCCTGCCAGGAGGAGCCCTCTAGCACCGGCATCGTTCCGAACTCGGCGATCAGCTGCTTTAGCTTTTGGGTGTAGGTGGAGTTGAGCTCCTTGATCCGGAGGCAGGACTCGTAGAAGTGCTTCACCTGAATGTCCTGCGGAGTGTCTCGGGTGTCATGCGCCGTGTTGAGCATCTTCAGGATCTTTCGATTTAGACCGTAGGTCAGGGTTTCGAATATACCAGTATTTAGTACACCTAAGGCTGATGCTGAGTTAATGCGATTATAGTTGCCACACGCAAACGAGTAAAAGTCGTTGCACGGATCGACCTTTTGGTCCATAAAGCTCTCTATCTCGGCAACTTTGGCTTGTCGCAGAAGGTCCTTGATGTACGGGGTGTTCTGGTTGAGAACATTATCGATGGTTGGGGCTGCCCAGGAAAGAACAATAAACACGTGGCCTACAAAGCAAATACAGAGAAGTTTCATCGCGAAGAGTTTCGTTGAAATCTAAACAATCGACTAAACTATTCCGTTCTTTTGTTGACGAAAAACAACTTCGGGTATTTCTCTGGTTTTCGGCGTAGAGATGGCAGGAAAATCGGGTTAATTCAATGTTTTCTACATAGGGGTTTAATTGCAATAACTTACACAATGATTACACCATTTCCGCCACCGCTCACTGTTGGCCCTGATATTTTTTGAATTTTTTAATTCTGTGCTATTGAATGTTTAATAGACAGTAAATATGAAATAATCAGATAAAATGCAAACCTAGATAATAAACACCACTTTTGTGAAACAAAAACTTAGAATGCAGTTTAGCTTGCAAAATCACTATTGCCCAGTATCAACTTTTTACCTAATTCAAATTAAATTGCAATAAAATGCAAAGTAAAACAATTAATTCGGCTATACTAACTACTAAAAACGTTAAAATGTCCTAAGCATTGTTTGCAGTCATCGCAATACAACGTGAGCTGTTTTTCAATCACGCACTCGCCTCTAACTTTGGGTAGGATTATGAACCCAACGACGGAGCGGGGTGATAAGGTAGAGCTTTGGATCCGTTCCCTCTTCCATTCTCGCTAACACTGAAAATAATTTCAATATGGACATTGTGTATTATCTTTAGTAAACATAAATTGTTGAATTAAATAAATAAATAACATAATGGTTTTCGTTTCAAAACTAGTTACGTAGACTTATTAATTAAATTGCAATACAATTCAAAATAAAATAATTAATTCGGCTATACTAAACACTATAATAGTTAAATTGTTTTAGGTATATTTTGAAATATCAAAACTTGCAAGAATTGAATATTATTTTTATTTATTAAGGTTAATTTTTGAAGTAGACTAAAAATTAGTCCTTCGAATTTGTTTTTGTGGTTGTAGATTTTTATACCCTTGCAGAGGGTATTATAATTTCAGTCAAAAGTTTGCAACGCAGTGAAGGAGACATTTCCGACCCTATAAAGTATATATATTCTTGATCAGGATCACCTCCTGAGTTGATATAGCCATGTCCGTCTGTCCGTCTGTCCGTCTGTCCGTCCGTCTGTCCGTCCGTCCGTCCGTTTCTACGCAAACTAGTCCCTCAGTTTTAAAGCTATCTGCTTGAAACTTTCCCAAAAGTTGTCTTTCTATTGCAGGTAGTATATAAGTCGGAACGAGCCGGATCGGGCGACTATATCATATAGCTGCCATATAACTGAACGATCGGAAAAGCCATAACGTTGGTGTTTTTAAAGTTAGGAAGTTGGGATTTTCTATGAGTTTTATTTTTGGCCAATTAATCCGACCTACCAAATTTCATAAGGATCGGACGACTATATCCTATAGCCGCCATCGGAAATGCCATAGCTTTGGTGTTTGTAAGGAAGTTAGGAAGTTGTGATTTTCTATGGGTTTTATTTTTGGCCAATCAATCCGAAATACAAAATTTCATAAGGATCGGCCGACTATATCCTATAGCTGCCATATAACTGAACGATTGGAAATGCCATAACTTTGGTGTTTTTAAAGTTAGGAAGTTGGGACTTTTTTTGAGTATTAAGAATACATCGTATGAATAGTTTTGGTGAATATAATTTACAGAATATTCTGCAAGGGTATATCAACTTCGGCTCCGTCCGAAGTTAGCTTTCCTTTCTTGTTTAAAAATATTTACTTGTGAACTTTGAAGGTAATTAGGGAATTAAGAGATTGAATTTAAACTGCTTGAAATATATCGTTTACATGACATATTAAAAATGTTAGCAATAAAATGAACTAAAAGTTTGGTACTTAAAAAGAAAAATAATCGAAAAGAAGGCCTTATCAACTTATAATTAACATTCAATTTATCATGTAAGGTCTTTTTTTTGCTGTGTAGCTTAATCTCAAACTCAGTTCCTGAGTATAGTTGCGGAAGTGCGTCGCACTGCCCGTTCAGTCGCTCTCGGAGTGTTCGCCATGGAGAACTTTGGTGTCGCATTGGCGCTGCTGCTACTGCTGGCGGGGAGTGGTGCAGGTCATCTGCTCCCGGGTCAGCCGTCCATTGACCTCCGCATCCAGGCCCAGGAGCAGTTGATCTCGCAGAGCAACGACAGCGCCTATTTGCAGCGATTGATGCGTCTGGCCAAATCGGCTGAGATGCGCAGCTATATGCAGCCGGATGTGGAGGCCTGCGGCAATTTCTACGACTATAGCTGCGGAAATTGGCCCCAGATCAATCCGGCCAATGATGCCCAGCCCCGGGAGACCAACTTCGAGCAGCTGCTGGTCAAGGCCTATCGCCACAAACAGCAGCGTTTGATGGAGCAACCGGCGAATGAGGAAACGGATGATGTGGCTGTGCTACGGCTCAAGCAGTTTTATGCCAGCTGCCTGATGTTCCGGCAAACGCCAGAGGATCTCTATCGACGTCACTTGCAGGAAATAGTGGCAGAGTTCGGCCGAATGCCGGTCCTGAGTCTCACGGGTCAGGAATGGCCAGCTGATGAGTTCGACTGGCTAAGCACTGTGGCCCGGATCAAGAAAAAGTACGGCTTTGACATCGTTTTGCTTTTTCAGTCATCTGCCGATCACATCTACGTGGGTCAGCCAAAGCAGATCCTTCCGGTGGCCAATAGACAAGCCGTAGCTGATGCCACAGCCCATCAACTGCAGCACCATTTGGGCGTGGATCCCGAGCTGGCCAATACGATGGCCCGGGAAATCACAGATTTGGAGCAACGCATTGCCAGCATTATGCTTGATCGTCGAGTTGGTGTTCTGTCCCGTTTGCGCACCGGCAATGAGTCGGATACATATCATTTTAAAATCGGCAATCTGACTCATTATGTGGAAACAGTCCTCGACCGCAAATTGCAATTTAACGAAACTCTCTACGAACATGTGCCCAGCTACCTAAGCGCTTTGGTTGACTTGGTAACGGAAACACCACCTGAAGTGCTGGCCAACTACATTTTCAATGAGCTACTGCAGCACTTTTACTACGAGCGATCGGGTTCCGTTGTGAAGCAATGTGTGAGCCGGGTTAGAGATCTTTTTCCTGACCTTCTCGATAACATGGTGTTTAACCAGTATGGAGATGAAGCTACGCTAAGTGACATCGAGGACGTCTGGCAGCACATCCAGCAGAGCTTTCGAGGTGTACTTCAAAACTCATCAGCCGACTGGTTGGCTTTGGAGACCCGAGAACAACTGCTGGAGCAGTTGAATACCACCAGTCTAGTGATCAATGGATACACCGATATTAACTTCACGGAGCGTTATGAGGGACTGCAGCTTAAGCCCCGGGATTATCTGCACAATTTGAGGAGCATACTCAGCCATCAAAGCTTGAGTGTCAAAGCGAAGACTCAAACATCTGCTGCGTATGATCCCGTGGGAAAACGAGTCCTGCTGCCGGTAGCTCTGCTCCAGCCGAACTTCCTATGGTCCCGCTTCTATCCGAGAGCCGTACGTTATGGTAGCCTTGGCACCCTGCTTGCCCGACAACTGGCGCACAGTCTGGAAGATGCCTCCAAGTGGGATGCCAAGTCGTTTGCCGAGTACGCCAAGCGGAAGGCCTGTTTCAAGAGGCAATACGGTCGCCTGCGACTCAATGGACAATATTTGCCGGAGAGCGATTTGCAGGCGGAGAACATAGCCGACAATCTGGCCATCCAGGTTGCCTACCACGCCTACAGAAGTTACCTAGGCACACTGGATCCGTCCTTCTTGGGTTCAGAGTCACTGCCACAACTTAACCTTAGCTCTCGGAGACTGTTCTTCCTCAGTTTTGGGCAGCTGTGGTGCAACGATGCCAATGAGCAGTTCCGGGACAAGCAATCCCTGCTCCAATTGCGGACCCCCAATGCGCTCCGACTGCTGGGAGCCCTGTCCAACTTCAGGGCCTTTGGACGGGATTTTAACTGCGGACGCGGAAGCCTGATGACTCTGCCCGAGAAGTGTCAACTATTTGCCGTAAGCCTGGATTAGTTAAGACCTGAAGTAAACTAAATATTACCTTGTTAAATATGGTAAAGTAATAAATGAGAAATTGAATCTACAAATGATTTATTTATTTACTTTTCTAGCGAAAGCGTTGAAATCAGTAAACAATACTTTATGCGACAATGAAAAATACGCTTATTCTTGTTTACTATTATCAGGGGAGTATAAATAGCCATGTCCGTCTATATGATTCTGCACACTTCTCCCACTGATAATGCCTCTTTTATGACAATTTTTCAAAACACTTCTCTCTTTTGCACAAAATGTATATGCCAGAACGAAATATTTTCTAAATTATATTACGAAAATCGAATCAATAGAGAATTTATGTTTCAAATAGTTTTATGCTGATTTATTGGCACCATAGTTAAAAATTCAATCGTATATTTTTCGGAATGTAAACTCTCATTATTGTTCATCCTTATCAAATTTATTTAAATTAAAACTTATAAGTCGAGCTTACAAGATTTAAGTTAAGGTACAGCGTTCTTCAGTAGATTGCACACTTGTAATCTGGATCCATAGGCGCCGACTGGGAGCAGTTGAAGACCCAGGAGAACTCTTGGAAGTTGGACAGCGACCCAATTACCCGGTACTTGTTTGGTACGTGGCTCGTCTTTCTGAGCCATCAATGTCTTGACGAGCGACTGGACATCATCGCACCACAACTGGGCGTATCCCACGAAGAACAGCTGGCGGCCATTAAGGGACAGACCCTCCATGGTCTCTCGTTGACGCACTTCCTCCGTCTGCTTCCCCAGCCAGAGCTGATAGGCGGCATAGGCCAACTTAACGCCTCCATTGTCTGCGATGTTTTCCGACTGCATTTCCCTGTTCGGCAGTGGCAATCCGTCGTATATGTATTTGTGGTACTGGGCCTGAAAGCACTTGCGCCGCTCATCGAACTCATAGTGCGACTTGGTGTCCCACAACGGTGCCAGGTTACCAGCAGCATCGTATTTTAGTCCATCGTCATCGAAGCCGTGGAGCATCTCGTGGGCGAGCAGCTGGCCCAAAGTGGCGTATTTAAGGGCCTCCGGATACTGGTCCCCCCAGAAATATCGGGGCTGCAGCAGAGCCACCGGAATCGTTATGTTGTTTTCCAAAATTGTATAGGTGGGTGTAAAGCCAAGATCCTCCGTCGCTTCCAAAGAGCGAGGTGGCTCGTTGATCCGCGATGCAAGTCTCCTGCTCTTGGCAATGAGCAAATTCTGAACGTTCGTCACGTAGTTAGTTCGATCAATAGTCACCGCACCAAAAAGCTCCTCGAAGTTCTCCGAGTCGTAGGAGCTTATGTGCAGCTGCATGCGGTTTAACTTCTCGATGGCCAGCGTTCTGGTGGCATTAGATATCCAGTCAAATTTGTCGCCCATTAGCTGCTGCCGGAAGAGGCCTCTGATCTGCTCCCAGATATTGAAAACTTCCGACTCTGCGGCCACGCTGCGGTATCTCTCGTATACTGCATGTTCGGCAAGCTGGACAAAGTACTTTCTAGTGCTTTCGGTGCACCATGTGGTCATTTCGCCGGGTTTGGCATCTATCAGATACTCCTGAAGCAAAGTCCACATTATAAAGTTTGCCTGTGTAGCCAACGGTGTGCTGCGCATTGTTAGAAGCACATTGTCGAGAAACTTTTCATCAGAAATGTATAGGGTCTCCGGAATGTTCTCCTCGCCGAGAATCAGACTCAGAAATTCAGTGAAGTTCAGGTGGTCGCTATACTTCTCTTGAAGATCGGCCAGCGAGTAGAGGGAGAGGTTTTCATCAAAAGAGCCTGTGCCGTGGACACCGCTTGCCAGGCTTTTTTCCAAATCGTCAAGCTGCTGTGCAGTTTGCCTTGCCACTGATGCACTTACACCGAAGTATTGCTGCATATCACTGGCAGTGCTACTCTGATGTGCCGATGCACTTAGGTATATGCGGTTTATCGAACTGTTCCGAATATCACCCAGTATATCCAAGGCCAGGATGATTTGTTTACCGTACTTTTGCTGAATCTGGGCCACCGTTCGCCACCAGCTAAAATTGGAGGAGTTCCATTGGGCACCAACCAAAGCAGGCAGTTCCCCGTACTCCTGGATAACGTTCTCCAGAGCCAGCTTGTAGTGGACATCATCGCGATGCACCAAATTACAGGACTGATAGAAGCGCTGCATCTTTTTCTCCGGCTCGGATCTGAGCTCGTTGGAACGCAGCAAGCGCAGCAAGCGCCGATCAAATCCTTTTGATATTAGTTTGAACGTGTTTGTATTGACGTCACCGAATAGGAGGGCTGGATTATGGCGATGCCAGTTCCCGCAGGCATGGGTGTAGAAGTCATCGCAGGGTGATATCTCCGGTCTCATCATGGTCTTGATGTCGGCCACTTTCGCTTGATGGATGATTCGTTTGGCGTACTCCGAGGTCAAGTCATCGGCGAAAGGGTCGTCCATATCCGATGGCTTGGCCATTGATGGAACTATTGCCACAAACAGGCAGAGCCACAGAACCCGACTCGTCATGATCAAACGCTAAATTAAACTAATTTTCGATTGCTCCCAATCTGTGACGGCCACCTTATCAGCGGGACTTGTTTATAGAATGTCTAGAGTACTGGGGTAGGTCAAATTGTTATCTCCAGCCGGCTCTAATACGATTTTTGCTAGTCTGTTACAGTGGGTATTATAAGAGCTATGTTCTGTATTAATCCAATGATTATATCTATTCTGTTACATTTCAGGCTTTTATCAAATCTCACTGAAGTTAAATTTAATATATATTCCAGTTTAAATAAGACCATTGAAAGCAATTGATGAACTAATGTCGTTATTTTTATTAACATAAATTTAAGTTCTCAAGTCAATTCTTGTAATTGTCAAATATTTATGTCTCCCATTGTACATAGTGTACTGTAAATCTAAAATGTTTGGCATACTACCGCTCCCAGCCATCTGCTGAGCGAAAAGTAAAGAATTTCAATATTTAAATATAAATTGAGCAGATGCCAACAAAAACCTCTCTTTTGAATTTTCATAAGTATTTGTTTATTTTACTTCCTATTGACAGTAAAACTGCACATTTTGTGCTGTCTATTCAACTATAAATACAGTGACTTTAGGTGTTTGTCTGTTAGTTTTAAACTAATCATCTAGTTTACCATTATATTACCATTTCTCCACATTAAATAATTATATTTTTAGAAATCTCTAAACAAGTATGTGGCTTAAGCCAAACTAATTTAATTTTCTTTGCCATCTTAGCCATACCTATCTTCTACATCCTGGCAATTGTGCCAGGACTGATGCCCTGGGACAGTGGTTACAAGTTTCTGTCGTTCTGTCACGTCTTCGGATCGGTGGCCCCCTGGTGCGGCAGCTTCGTCTACCACCTGTTCATGAACATCGAGAAGGGGGAGAACGTCTACTATACGCTGCTAAAGCTGGACATGGTCGGCATCTGGGTGAGCCAGAGCTTCGGTGAGTACTATCGCGATAGTTGTTTATGCCCCAATGAAACGCAAGCGCTGCTCGGAAGCGGAACTATTTAATTCAATAATATACACACACATCGCGTAATCAGCTAGATAAGGCGAATCTCAATACATTAAGCATCTGGTGGGGGGATTCATCTTGGTCTCGTTACTGCACTGGAAGGCCTCGGCGAAGGCTGGGGAGTTGGCCAGCATGGCAAAGACCCGGGACTCGTTCGGAGAATGGACACTATTCCGGATGAATGCTGGTCGCCTTTCGGGCCAAATATCGCAGCACATTGATTGGGCCACGCTCAGGTAGAAAAGCTGCTCCGGAGACTGCGACATATGTGGTAGGCTTTCCGTATCCTGGGTTTTCAATTCCTCCAGCCACTTACTGTACGACGCCTGCGCAATGCGAATGCCTATATTATCTGCTATATTCTCGCCCTGTGACTCCAACTTGGACAACAGCATGTTGCTGTACCGCATCTTACCGAACTGATCCACCAGGCAATTCTTCGCGGATTCAAAGCCCATCTTGGACTGATTGCTCCAGAACTCTTTCAAGTTACCCTTGCTGTCGAAGAGGCGGCTTAGATCGTCGAATCCGTGGGCCATCTCATGACCCAGGAACAAACCCAGGGTGCCATACTTGAGAGCAGCCGGATAAACGTCGTCCCAGAAATAGCGGTGCTGCATAAAGCTGGCTGGTAGAACTACCAGATTCATTTCGGTAATGTAGAATGGGGACTGGATCACGCCATCGTAATAGTTTATTTTTCTGGATTCCTCCATCAAATCCGCACGGAGATTACTCGCTTGCACCTGCAGCAGGCGCTGCACATTGCCATAGTAGTCGGCTGAGCTGACCACCAGATCACCATACCGCTCCTCAAAGTCCACTGCCTGACCGCCTGCAATCTCGAAGGTCATGCCCCTGAGTTTTTCCAGTAGTTCCAAACGCGTCGGCTCGTCAAGCCACTCGAGATCTGGGGAACTTAGCATTTCCTTGAATGAGGCCTTCAGTTCCACCCACAGAGTCACCAACTCGTTGGCTATGTGGGGACTCTGCTGCTCTAGGGAATGGTACACCATGTGATCCATCACATCGGGAAAGAGCTCGGTCATCCGTTGGGCACAAATCTGCTCCTGCTGATCATCATTCGCTTGGATCTCAAAGTCGGTTAACAGAGTGGACAGCATGTAGTTGGCCAGCACATAATTGGGAGTGCTCAACAGTACCTTCTTCACCCGGAAAAGGTAGCTGGGCACATTCTCGTAAACAGGCAGATTGTAATCATGGCCCAACCAGGAGTTTACAAAGCGAGTCAGGTTGAGAATAGGTTCATGGGGATCGCTCATGTTGGACAGCATGGTCAGACGGTTCTTCAATCGCGGATCGCGGTCCATTCCACGGTCAAGAACACTACGCGATAACTCCCTCTCCAGTTCAATGAGCTCTTCGGCAGTCTTCTCAGCAAGCTGCTCCGACAGACCCAGGAGGTTCTGCAAACGCTGCTTGAGCTCCTGCTGTTTGGCGAGACTGGTGGACCAATCGAGCTCCACTAAATCGTCCCTCTGGCCCAGGTAAAGACGCTTAATTTGCGAGTTGATGAAATCCGGAGACACATAGACACCCAGTAGGGACCTCTTTCCGTAGTGGCGCAGCAGCTGGGCCATCGTCTCGAGAGCATCGAATCCGATATAATTCCAGGAATTTCCATCCACCGCCGGCATGCCATTGAATTCCCTCAGAACACTGAGCAAATGGGCGCGCTGGTTCATCCTTAGTGCCGTCGTGTTCAGACAGGACTCGTAGAAGTACTTTACGCGCACCTCCATGGGCCGATCCGTGCTCATTCGGGGTTCATTTAGCAACTGCCTCACCCGACGGAGATAATGGGCAAACATGTCTTGCCGGATGAAGGTGTCTTTCTCCATGGTGGCTGCATTTATCACCGCAAACTTTCCGCAAGCATAACCATAGAAATCTTCGCAGGGACTCACATTCGTGTCCATAAAGGAGCGCATCTCAGCGGACTTGGCCTGCCGCATGATCTGTTGACCCAGGGGCGTCGTAAGCTCATTGAAAACTCCACTCTGGATGCCAGGTGAACTGACGGCCAAGGTGATAAAGATTAGACAAGCGGAAGCCGGGAGGCCCTCCATCGCGTTCGAGCTTTGTTTTTTGACTGAGCATCCTTATCAGTGGGCAAATTGTGTTTGCGCTAACTGTGGGATGACCACTATCATCTCTTCCGCTCTCTGTTTTTTTAGGTGCTCTGCCCCTGGTGACAGCCACCACTTTGTGTTTCCCGCCTGTGCTCAAGTGGCTGATAATTATCTCCTACTGCGTGCTCTCGCTGTGGGGCCTCTACAAGGTGAGAAGGAGATCATGCAGGATCAGGACCAACTTCAACTAATCCCTAATCTCCTCCAGGCTCTAACTGCCAGTTCACCCTGGCAGCGTCGCTTGTGCTTCGCCCTGCCCTTCGGCATGCGCTCCATACTGACCTTCCTGCGCATCCGAGGAATGGTGGGCGGCAGCCACATGGCCCTTTCCCATGTCTACCTGCAGGTGCGTATGTCCAGGCTTTCCGATTGACTAACTGCTATTTTCTATAACTAAACGTTTTTGGCTGGCCTCTCTCGGTGCGCATAGGTTGAAGTTGTAAGTCACATTTTCATACATATGTACATTCGAGTAAATGGACAGAGCCGCTAACCAATTGCCTGGCGGACAGAGAACACAAATCCCGCCACCAAAATCAGTCCGCTAATCTCTTACTAACCCTCTGTTCTAGGACGGCGTCTCCATACTGGGCGGTGCCATCGGAGCGATGCGAATCCCAGAGAAGTGGTTCCCGGGCGTGGTGGACTTCTATCTGAACTCCCACAACATTATGCACGTGCTGGTCGTGGTGGCAGTTTACTCCATGCACAAGGTTTGTTAAATAACTATGAATATAATATATGGAAAAACGAATGTGTTAAGACATGTCTGAATAATAGTTCGTTTACCTCTAATGTTAATTACAGAAAAGATTTGATTTTTAAGAGCAGGTTAAGATGTGTTTTAAACGTATAGCAATTAATATTAATTATGTGTAGCACTAACCAAATCGTAATTCTACTATAAAAGTAAGGTTGATATGTTGATTGTTTTAAAGATATTTTCTTATTCAAATAACATTAAATTATAAATATTGTAGATTATTATTTAATTTGTCATTTATCTGTAATCTATACAAATGTGTTGATATGATTAATTATCAAGGGTGCCACAGAATTTTAAAATCACTTATGAAAGTTCATAAAATTAAGCAACGCAACACAGAACATCATCTCTATAAAATGAAGCCTTTAAACCTCCTAGTTTAAAATAAAACGTTGCTTACTTTTAGACAACTTGTATGTGATATTAAAACCCATGTGATTTCTGTGGAATATCAGTAAAATTCATTCTCTTACTGAGTCTAACGATCGTTTTACCTCAGGCCACCATCAAGGACTTCGAGTGGATGTCGACGCAGACCTGCCACACGGCCGCCAATGCCACCGAGCAGGCTCTGGGTCACGTGGAGCTATGACCCGCTTATTGGCTTCTGCCGCTGGTGCTGCTGCCCTTGCCCTGGATAATCCTGGCCCGGCGGCGTGCCCGGAGGCACTTGATCCGTGCCCTGATCGCTCCCATCGCCTGGCGGAGGAGGCAGGCCCAAATCCCCGGATAAGACTAGATAGACATCAATTGATCACTGAGGAGACGATGACGAACGCTACTTGAATGTACCGTGTATAAGAGAGCTGTTGTAGTAACAATATACATACGTATATCTAGGTGTAGGTATAGGCCATACATATATGAACTGTATGTGTGTATTTACATATAGTACATACTTCGACTGTGGTATTAAGCATTAAGGTTATATAATTACTGAGACGAGACGAACGGTAGTCAGGCAGGACGGTTTTCGGAACCAAGTCTTCGGATTTTCACGCTAAACTCTTGAGTATACAGTTGCGATATGGCTGGAAAATGCGTAATAAGTATTGAGTAATGAGTAATAGTAACGATGATTTGAATGATGTTGATACACGTGTACCTCATTGTGCTTACGACAACACATCTTATTTTCAAATACTCGAATGTATAACTTTGTACCTCGTCGAAAATTCTACAATAAGAACACTTATAAGCTAATCTCTTCCTAGTTGAACTTTTTAGATATGCAAATTGTTAATTTTGGCAAGCTAGTGGTAGTGTTAGCCTAGTTAATGCTCCAATCTGTGCATAGTTGTGAACGAAACTCAACCACTCAGTTGTTGGTGTTGTGTGCCAGTAGTTAGAAACCCGTATTCAAGTTGGACAAGTGTGAAACCATAACAATCTTCTTCTGGCAAGTCGCTACTGCAACGAATCGCGTACATAGAAACGTAGTAGAGTTCGATATGAATTGGGTTTATATCATTTATGTCAATTGATTGCGCAATATTAACCTCAAGTATTTATTGAGCTCCCCGAGTATTGAATATTATTAGAAACCGCAATATTTATTACAAGTACGAGTACCCTAGTTGTTAAGCATTAGGGCAAGTATACAACAAACTTAACTATACGATAGCAATCTTTCGAACGTCGGTCTATTTTAATCCTAGCAATGCGAACAATTATGAGTAAAGCGTTTTAGTAGTGTCAATAATTTACACCACCCCTCGAACGAAAGAGAGAGAGCAAATCTAACAAGTGAAACGTAAGCTAACAAACTAATTCAAACAAACAAAGCAATAATTATAGGCAGACTCAATGCTTTAAGTTTAAAGTTGCTGCTAGACGTAAGTGACAATTATACGAATAATGTAAAATGATTTTCTGAGAAGGTTAATAAACATTAAAAGTGTATTTAATGAGCAAATGAAAAGGCCTTGTAACGTGTTTTAATTTGAACAAGAAAGGAAAGCTAACTTCGGACGGAGCCGAAGTTGATATACCCTTGCAGAATATTCTGTAAATTATATTCTTCAAAATTATTCATATGTGGTATTCTTAATACTCGTAAAAAGTCCCAACTTGCTAACTTTTAAAACACCAAAGTTATGGCATTTTCAATCGTTCAGTTATATGGCAGCTATAGGATATAGTCGGCCGATCCTTATGAAATTTGGTAGGTCGGATTGATTGGCCAAATATAAAACCCATAGAAAATCCCAACTTCCTAACTTTACAAACACCAAAGTTATGGCATTTCCGATCAATCAGTTATATGGCGGCTATAAGATATAGTCGTCCGATACTTATGAAATTCGGTAGGTCGGATTAATTGCTCAAAAATAAAACTCATAGAAAATCCCAACTTCCTAACTTTAAAAACATCAACGTTATGGCTTTTCCGATCGTTCAGTTATATGGCAGCTATATGATATAGGTGCCCGATCCGGCTCGTTCCGACTTATATACTACCTGCAATAGAAAGACAACTTTAGGGAAAGTTTCAAGCAGATAGCTTTAAAACTGAGGGACTAGTTTGCGTAGAAACGGACGGACGGACAGACGGACGGACAGACGGACATGGCTAGATCGACTCTCCTGGTGATGCTGATCAAGAATATATATACTTTATAGGGTCGGAAATGTCTCCTTCACTGCGTTGCAAACTTTTGACTGAAATTATAATACACTCTGCAAGGGTATAATATGGCAGACTTTTTACCGGCAGGTGGCGTTTTGTTTTCGTCAGATGGCGTTTGCTGATGAATTTTCCATCCCTGAAAAAATGGTTGGTAGCTCCGATTAAATTTAAACCAAAATTTAAGATATTATTAATAAAGACGAAAATATTAGTTTATATGTTTATACTTTATTAAATTCTTTAGTAAATTCTTATACTCGCGCCATGCATTTATAGACAATATGTTTTATACTTTTCTTTCGTAATAATAAATGTTTTTATTTGAGTTTTTGACTAGTTGTAGTTTAAATACGAGTTAAACGCTTTTGATTGATGCGCGTTTTAAAGTATATGCAGATACATACATACAGATATATAAATAAGTTTATTTAAAAATTTACAAAAATGGAAAACTTATCTGATTCGTTATGAAGCTAGTAGCACTTTAAAATTCCTAATTGCTTTTCGCATATATGTAGTAGTCGTGTATATCTCTATATTTTTGTAAATATGTTCGTTAAAGTAAAAACTGCATTGCACATTTTGTCAGTTTCCTGCTTTGTTTTCAGTGTATATATTTTGCGTTGACCTTTTTTGATTAGAGTTCTGTATTTTGGTTTTAGTATTTGATATTCTCTTTAGTTATAAAACTGTGTTCATCTTTATTCTCGTATCTCTTATTATTCTTCTTAGTAACTTTAGCGACAATTCCCCGTGTATAAATATATAATAAAATAATAATAAAACTATGCATTATAAAATTGTATAAGCAACCTATATCATTACAACATTTGTTTATATTGCGCTTTGGACTTGCAGCAAAAATTTGGCACCAAAAATAATAAAAGTGTATAAAATATATTAAGCTAGTTCGAAATATCGTGGGTTCTATGGAGGACATTTTTAAAAACATAGTAAAACATAATAATCGTAAAAACTAAGCGAACTTCAATCTCACTCTCTGTGGGTCACGAAGAAACCTGCACTTGGTCTATTTTTTAGCGCTGCGCATAGGAGAAATCCGTCTGAGCATGTGCATCCTGACTACTTTGGGGGAGATGATAAAGGGGACTCTGCTGGTGATAATGATGCTGGCATCCGGACACCTGCTCCACCTGAAAGCCGTGCGACTGCCGTTCCAGCGTGGAGAACCTTGAGGAGAGCAGCCTTGGGCCAATCTGCTCCTGCTGATCCTGTTCCACCGAGAAACTCAGGCCACAAGAGCAGTGTTCGATGTGGGACTGGGGTATTGTCAATCCCGGCGTGGCATGCACTTGAGCCTGTTCTGTGATGATTGCGGGTGGTGGCGACGGCGAGGACAGACAATCCTGGCAGTAATGGGGCGTAGCTACCATCTGCTGATGAAACTGGCTAAAGGATGATGGCGGCGGCGGAGGAGGCGGTGGCGGCGTCATCGAGTGGGTAGACGAACTGGAGTCCGTGGATTCCGAGACCGTTTCTGTAGCTGCGCTGTCCGACGTCGATGTGGATGAGGATGGCTTGTGTGGCTGATGCGGTTGATCGGGTGGATGATGGCAGCGACATATTGTAACTCAAAAAGTGCCGCCATCGTGCTGATGACTAGATGAAGATGAGGTTATTGCAGATGCCGGTGGTAGAGGGGCTTCAGCAGCAGCAGGCGGTGGCGGAAGAGTAGCTAACCCCAATCCGTTGACCTGGTGCTGCACCATGCTATAACCATCCCCATCTCCATTCTGCTGCTGCTGATGGACGAGATGATGATGACTGTTTGTGGAATGATTTTGATTTGGATTCTGACTATGATTGAGTTGTGTAGTGTGCGTTTGTGTGCTGGGATTCGGCGAATGGGCTTCATCGCCTGCAATGATGACCCCGTTGCTCGATATGCCCAATGATTTGGGTGGAATGGGCGGCGGTGGCACCGGAAAATCCTCCACATCAAACGAACTCGTTGAACTCTCGCGTTGTGTGATGTTCATCGATGCGCTGGCATTGTAGTCCAAACTGCCATTGCTGCTAATGCGACAGTGCTCCCTATGCTGCACTGTGATGGCCGAAATCGATGATGAGTCTTCGCTCAGGTTGTTGAGATTCATGTGGTTCAATTCCCTGGAGCTAGTCGTCGAGATGCCCGAGTCCCGAAAGTCGTTGGGAGCAAAACAGATGCTCAGGTGTCCTCCGCTGCCGTCCTGGAAGTTCGGTGGCAGCGAGTGTGGCTGCTGATCGGCCTCGGGATCGTCGTAGCTAATGTCCACCACGGAGTACTTCTGGCCATGCTGCTGTTGCTGCTGAGAGTGACGACGACCCACGGCATCAGCGCCGCCAAAGTCATTAAAAATCATTGGATTTGAGGCCCTCTTATCTGGTGTAATTCCACGCGGTGGTAGCGGCGGAGCATTGGGGGAATTTACTGTCGGCTGCCGCTTGGGCGGAACTTCCGGACTATCCATGGCTCCATTACCCATAAAATTTTGCGACCGTGGACGATTTGGCACTGGGGGAGCTGCAGTATCCTCCAAGGGAATACTGAGGCTCTCTTTGCTCAGCGTTTGATAAGGGTCTACCGGCCGCAATGTGTCTCCCGGCCTCGTGTAGATCTCGTCCAGATCATAAACATAGTTGGTGTGAGAATTAGCATTCAAAGTGGAGGAAGCGGTTGCCTGCGCCACACGCTGTTCCGTGGGCAAAGGTGGAAGCGGAGTGTTCACAATGCTCTCCGAGTGCTGTCTTTTCAGTCTCCCCATGCCGGATAAACTCTGCTTCAGTTGCGAGAAGCGTTCCAGGAGTCGATTGTGCAGCGGTTGGACACCACTGGGAGCCAATTGGCCATGTAGCTCTAGGGCCTGCTCTAGAATTTGTATTTGCTCCAGGATCAGTGCCTTTAGGCGCTGCACATTAGCCTGCTGGCCGGCACCCTGAGGCGATTTGAGGAACTGCTCGGAGAAGAAGGCCTCCTGATACTTGCTAATACCGCCCATGACATTAGCATCGATCGTGCCTTGCAAACGCATCGAAAACGGATTAATATTCCTCTTCGGATCGCGTTTGTATTGCACAATCAGCTCAGACAGTTCCTTGCCAGCATTGCTGATGATTTCGCAAGGCGTACTCCACCGGTGTTAGCTCCTGCATAGTCTTTTGTTTTACCTCGTACCAGCGAAGAATTCCTGGCAAAGGACTGGCGATCTCCAGGATGGTACGCTCAATCCACAACGACTTAAACTCATTGTCTTTGTCCACTGTTCCCTTGTACATTGGCCGATCGTAGATGAACCGGGTCACATCGTTGACTTCATAAAAACGAGCGATTTTCTCCGGCACCGGAACCATAGCCGACTTCAAGGCCTGCGCATCCCCAACGGGTCTCACATTACTAATTTGTATGTACTGATCCGGAGCATTCAGAATGGCGATATCCGGCGGACTGTTGTTTCCCAAGATCTGGGCACTGGGAAACTCCATTTGCAGCCGCTGTGTAAAGGCACCTATTCGCTCGTACTCCAATCCACGATAGACGAATTGCTTGTTCTGTAAAAACGGAAAAAATGCCAATAGTAAGATCTTAAAATAGGCTTCATAGACTAAAAACATACCCGCACAAAAAGTGGCAATCCCATACCATAGAATCCCACCCGAAAGTATTCTGGTTCCGGTCGCAATTGAGTAAGGATATTTTGGAAGAATTTGGCCTCCTGTATGAGTATTTCACTCAACTTGTTATAGTCAAACCGACGTGTTTCATAGAGCTGCGCAAGTTCTTTGCACAATGGAATGCCCTTCTCCCAGCATTTGCCTTTGTCGAAGTATTTGAGGATCTAAAAAATAAAACTATAGATTAAAATATATTTAAGATGAGCCTGTAATCATTTTTAACATCATGATATAGTCGCTCCTTGCGCTGCCACTCTGGCTGTTCAGTGTTTTCGAAGGGGGTAGAACTCGGGGTCTCCCGATCCCAGCTCAGCATGGAGGCATATAATTTGAGAGTGAATCCCGCCTCTGTGTAATTCTCAGCCTGCAGATGCAAGTTGTGCAACTTATAAATGTATCTGCCGAGAAGAAAAGAAATCAGCGACTCGTAAACATATTTTATCACGTTATGGACTTACCTCAGATACATCTCCTTCCTATTAATTTCGTTTTTGTAGAAATTAAGGAGATTGACAGTGCAGGTCATTCGCTTGTCTCGGTTCTCCTCGCCCTGCATTACGCTGCGATAGTCCAAAAGTCGCTCCAAAAGTCGGGTGACTGAGCCTATAAAAGCAATGCCAGCATCCTTCCAGTTCGGATTCTCCACTTGTACTTTCTCCAGCAGACTATCGACACACAAAGATTGCAATTACTTAATGCCAAATTTCTTAGCGAGGGGAAAGAGTTTCAAACAAATAAAATTCACAACAAAAGGACTAATAGAGGCTAGCGGAAAAACTACACTTAAGGCAAAGGATAAATTGCACTGAGTTAAACTTACACCAAGCTGAGATGTTCCCTTTTTATGGATGGCGATTGCAATGAATGTGAAGTGAGTCATATATGTATATTTACAGACATTTACAAACATTTATTTACACATTTTGCAGTATACAAAGCGTGTTTCGCAACTTACATGGTGCTGAAAAGCTCCCTATACTCGTCGTCACCCTTGTTCTCGCTGATGAGCAGGTCCAGCTTGTCAATCAGTTCGCTCTCCACCAAACGGAACGAACCTCGGGCAGCCTGCTCGAGCACATTTACATTAATTACCAATGGTCATAGCGATAAAAAGCAAACAACCCACCTGCTCGCACTGCATCATGTCGTAAAAAACCGAAAGCGTGGCCTTTCGCAAAGCGTGCTCTGGTACCAATGTGACCTCCAGGAATGGCCCCACCATCGAGGGAATAAAGTGCAGTTTTTGCTCGCCCAGTTGCGACCACATGCTGAGTATCTGGAAGCCCATGAGTACCCGCATGTCGCCATGCGAGTGGAGTATCTTCAGTCGCTTGGGCTCTCTATATTGCTCCAACTGCAGGGAGGGCTGTGTCAAGAATGAAACGGCCAGACTGAAATAGCTCCACCAAAGCTGCGAATCAAAGGCCTGGGGTCCCAAGAATCTGTACACCAGGGGCTTAGCGAACTCCTCCAGCGACATACGCAGCACATCGTTGGCGGCCAACTTCATCACAAGCCAGTCGTTGGGGAACACATGCCAGTCTTGGGTCAGAAGCTCCTCGTACACCAGCCAGGATTTGCTCAGGAACTCCTTGAGATCACGCGGATCTTTGTTGGGACTCAGCTCGTCCCAGTAGCGCTTGTAGTGGGTCTCGTCAAGCAGCTGCAACAAACCCAGCAGACATGAGACCAACTGCGGTAACACTGCATTGGAACCCTCCATTATAATGCTAATAGTGCGGATAAGAATTCCCAGTATATTCTTGCACAGCGAGTCAACATCGTGCTGGAGTGTGTTGGTCACCTTATCCCGCTGCTCCTTCTGCAAATCATACAACTGGCTAAGAATCTCCGACAGAATCTCGGCGCACAGACGCAATTCATCACGTCGGCCAAGATGCATTCGCAGGTGCTTGCAGGCCACAGAAAGTACCACAGTGCGCGAATCTGAAATAAAAGCCAACATGAGTCTGGTAAAATAATTAATTTAAAACTACATACCATCCTCGTGGAATAACTCCCCAGACACCAGATCCTTGACAGCATGCAATTTCGCTTGAATTAGCCGAATAGGAGCTCCTCGGGGAATGGCATCTAGCATATTCCGCGCCAACATGCCCAACTCCGGAGCTGGCAGCGTGTCCTTTAACTGCTCCAGCACCACACCCGTCGAATTAAGCAGCGCCTCCTGGGTGGGAATAATAACATCGTACGAGGGAACAGCCAGCATTCCGTTGAGGGCCGTAAAAAGGGAGTGGAGATCCCGGCGGAACGAGTCCTCATACTGCCCACCTGTAGCCCTTGCAAACAGTCGCCTCGACTGAATTAACAGCTTGAATATGTATTCCAGTGAGCCGAAGCACTTCTGGAAGGGATCGGGGTGCTCTGCCTTGGTCATAAACACGGCCATGTGCTCCACGGATGTAATGAGTCCCTTGTAAACCAAAGCGGCAGCAAAGTGATTCTCAATATACTCGTTCATCACCGGCCGAAAGTGCTGGAACTTGTTGCTCTGCAGCAAGCTGAAGATGCTAACAAGCACATGAAAGACCAGACCCGAGTGCTGAGTGCTGTTTCCCTCCTCATTCGAGAACATGGCAAACAATGCGTCTAGCACGTCCTGCAGGAACTTGACCAATTCTTCATCTTTCAGGCGCAGCACTCCTGTCAGCGAATCCTGTATCGTTTCGGGATAAGTGCGCCACTGCAGCAACGAGAGGAGGTCCGCATTCTGCGTCAGTTTCGTGGAACAGAGCAGGGAGCGCAGGACGAACACTTCCTTGGAGCTGCGACTGAAACAACCACCACAATCCATCTTGGCCTGTGCATCCCGCGGTCGACTTTGCAGCCGCAGATAATTTGAGGCCTGCAATTTCGCTGCATCCTCACACTTGTACACATACAACTCGTGCTGACCATCGCCCAGAGTGGCTCCTCCCGTGTCCATCAGTCTGGCAAAGCTGAAGGCGAACAACTTCGGTTCCGTTTTATCTCTCGTTGAGCAGTGCCTGAATTCAAATCTCACATGAGCCGTGGCAAACTTGTCGATGGGCACACTGAGGCGCAGCATTTCGTTCCAACTAGGTGCATTCTGATGATACAGGATCATGGATCGGTACAGCAGCTGTGGGTCCATGCCGGAAGCACCCCACAAACAGTCGGTTAGAACATTGCCCGTTTCATCCAGAACCACAACTGTCACAAGGATATTTTTCCCAGTGTTCTTTCCACCTCGCTCAAATTCACCGCGTTCCAGGGTGAGAAAGAGATCGTTGCGGACGTCTCCAGGCATGATGACATCCGGGAAGCCCATCTTCCTGGTGATCGTCGAGCCCTGGAAGAGCAGCGGCTGTTCCTGACGAGCCTGTCCCAAGCCCCCGTGCAGAAGTTTTAGGGACACAACAATTCCCTGAGTTCCCTGACTCGTCTGGATGGGCGAGTATTTTCCACTCGACTTCTTGATAATCAGTTCCGGCAGCAGGTGAAAGTCCTTTTCTTCGCTCTGGAACAGCTTGAAGTTATACTCCCTCTCATCGGAGGACTGCTCCAGACTGCTATCAAAGTGGGCAATGTCGCCCAACGAGAGAACACCCACGCCAAACGGACGACGGAAAGTTGGTCCATGTCCAGATGAGGCACTCTTCTCGATCTTCTTTATGGAGTCCGATTGAATGATCTTGCCCACGCGCATCACCACGGCCACCAAATGAAGATCCTCATTGAGATCAGCGGCGCCTAAAGAGATTAAACATTTAATATTTAGCACTATATTTCGAAGGTGTTACAAATTATATAAATATTTCTTTGATTTAGATTTGCTTTAAAGATATTGACGCATTCGTAATTAATTGATTTGAACAAGTTTACAGAATTTTTTTTATAAATTTTTTGTTATCTACATTTTTCTTAAGGAAAAATTTTTTTTTTTTAAAAAAAAAATCGGAGATGTCTAGAGATTTCACAATCAAGATTGAACAAAATCTTTGAATCATATTCCTTACCAAGATCAGTAAACACCGTGCAGTTGCTGTGCAACTTTTCAATGTAATTGGAGAAACCGTCTTTGGACATCTTGACCAGAAACCGCTCGGACAGTGGTCGCATGTGACTGCCGTCGTAGAGAAAGAAGTACACCTCGGCATCATCGCCACCTATCCGATGGCCAAAGTCGCGCATGCAAAAGTAGAGATGGTGGGTGAGGATCTTGCGCTGTGTCTTACGCCTCAAAGTTCCTCGACTCTGTGGGTATGTTAAATGAAAAATAATTAAAATACAGCAATTGTGTCACATTAAAAATACATACTGAGGAGGCCTTGGCGTTATCAGCACTGTTCACGTGGACATTGTATAACTTGACAATGCCGATGCCATGTGGATCCACCGCCAGAGGTCCCTCTCTGGGCACCAAGTCGAGAGCGAGTTTGCTGCAAAGATCGAAAAGCATTTGTAGGTTGATTGATAGCGATATTAGGGAAGGAAACACCCAGCTAAAACAACTTTGCCACTTTGTCACGTTCCGATACGAAAGACACATTTCAATTAATGAAACGTGGGAGCTGGAGCTGGAGGGGAACCCTCCGAATGCAGTCCAGTTGGTTGTTTTGAAAACCATCAGACCTTTAAGGAAATTGACGCATTCGTAATTAATTGTCGCTTGACGGAGTCGTGCGGAGCGCCAATAATTAAATACAAATTTGGTCAGTCATCATGGACGATCATCATTAATCACCGCATATTCCCATAAATAGAACAAGCCGCAAAGGGCTTGGAGATTATTTTTAAAGATTTGTAGAGGGTTCGAGATTAGCATGGGAGACCTCATAGCTGAGTTTTGTATTTGTAGAAGGATGAAAGATGGATGGAAATTAATTGTAAAACAATTCATATGTGATGGGCTAGGAAGAATGTATTCAAACCATATCCGTTGGATACATATTTTAGGAAAATGTAAGTTTGTGACAATTTTACCTTTGTCCCTTTTCTAATATACAATAATAATTATTTTAATATTAAATCTAAGAACTCCAGTTCAATATCAATCTCAAGTTCCCCGATTCCGAGTATTCAGTACTACTCATGCAAATGAATCAGTGCCAAGGCAGCCAGAGAACCTGTCACGGCACCGCTCAACTTTCGGAAAGTAGCTCAAATCGAAAATCAATCGACGTCTATCGACAAAGATCGTATCTAAATGGATTGGGCCGATCATTAACTTCACACTATCTATGGCCAGTACGTGCCTGCTGTTCGTACAGCAGCTACCGATTGGAATTTACATGATGATGATGATGATCATGCACGGATCATGGTCTCACATCGCATGGCCCGCATGACGCATAAATTTCGGCTGCTTACAGCCGATTCCAATCCAGCCAGATCGAGTGAGGTACACAAAAAACTACACAGCTAATGGGTTCACGGCATTCCGGTGGCGCATGCGAGAAGAAGAAATGTAGACGAGGAAAGGAGAGAAGTGGAGGCCCAGTCTCAGACTCAGGCTCAGACCCAGGCCCAGAGTTGGCCAGAGTTGAGGCCAGGTTCATAGCGTTGGCCAACACAACCGTCCAACGTCATCAGCAATATGTTGCCCGACGTCGCGACGTCGTTGACGATGCTGCTACCTCGGCTACGCTGGGTCTTCTACCTGGCTTACGCAGAGAGAGCCGGGCATCTTTTACCAACCTCCAGAACAAGCCGAAGAAGCCGTTTTGCTGTTAACGAGGCCTAAACGGCTTTGCTCTGGCTCAGGTGAAATTGAGAGAGGCAGAGCGAGCCAGAGAGAATCTCCATTTTGGAACCGGAACCAGTAGAGAAACAAAGCGGTAGAGAACCCCAGAGAAAGAGGCCTATAGATCTCTGGGGAATGTTCAGGTCTCTCTCTCTCTCTCTCTATAGAGATATGTATATATGTGTGGGGTTTGAGCCACCTCTGTTACGCCGGGAGTTCGGGCTCTGAGTTGACGTGACCAAATGAAGCACTGCGACTCGAAAATGTATCTCATGGATACAAATATGAGAGGTGCGCGTGCGCGGCAGTTTTGGGACCCGCAAAAAATACGGTAGCCATGCTGGTAATGAACACTTTGAGTCGTTTTTAATTAAGTGCCTGACTCAAAGCTCAACAGGTGAAAGGCAAAAATATTTACCCCCGAAAAGCAGAAATGCTTCGCTTATCTGAACAAATTATTTTTTAATTAAGCCTCACCTAAAGTGTTGAAAATCTATGAAGATGTGACACAACAGAATGAGGAGAACGAAACGAGAAGACGCAACAAGATGGAGACCCAGACGATACAGAAAAATTTAATTATTTACACTTCGATAAGCAGAGCTGTCAACCACAAACAAAAGCAGTAACAACAACGCGTTCGATGGCATTGTATCTATGGGTCTCGCCTCGCCAGCGGCCCAGATACACGGCATATCACAATCACACATGCCATATATTTCGTATTTAATGTCTTTATAAAAGGTGTAGCTCGCAGATACATTTCTGGCGAGAGGCCACAGGCAACCAGACAACAGGCACCAGGCACCCAGGCATCGACAATAAACAAACAGTGCAATGCGGGGAGGAGCAAAGTGGAGCTCAGCGGTTCAGGACATGGAAACAGCAGCTCCAGAACAGAACCACCGCACCACCATGAAACGGCAGCAGCAGCCATTTCGAAATGCCATTTCATTATGGCCAAGACTGAAGAACAGGCAGGCAGGCCAAAGCCACCGCGCTGAGTCATTCCACCAGTCAAGGAGTTTGCTGGTTTTGCTGGCAGGGGGGCAGTAGTTCAAACTTGGAACTTGGGACTCGGGGATCTGGGAGGAATGCCTGGCAACAAGTTTGGCGATGCTTGTCTAGCTCTCAGCATGCAAATGGATCTTCATTTTGGACCCTTCGTGAGACTGTGTGCGATCAGCTACGACACATTTAACCCTGGAATACGAATAGTTCCTTGGACCCACTTGGCGTACACTTCAGAGCGGCGTCTGTGCTGCCAGAGGATTCACTGGACATGGAAGCAGCGATAAATTAAATGGACATGCAGCCTAAAGTTCCGCGGAATTAATTGCAAAACGTTTTTATAATGAGGCGCAAAGGAGCAATATCAAAGGAATTGGGGTTCACCTCATTAATTACATATACCTGGCTTTTAATTTAATAAAACGTAAATTAAAAAGTGAATACAAAAAATTTTACCATAGTTAGCTAACTAATTGTATGGGAATCGGGATTAAGCAATTACATAAAGTGAAAGTTCTTCATTTAAATTACTCTAAAGTTACATAACATTTTTTTAATTTATGGTATGGATCTCAAACACCTGTATTCTAATTCTAAAAATACTTTTGCATTTGCCATTAAAAAACCAAATATTCAAAACAATCCAAAATATTTAATAATGCTATTACGAAATTACTCTTCAATTTGTTAATATGAATAACTTTTAATAAAATGGTAAATAAAACAAACTAAATGCCAAATGTTAATAACAATTTTTTTTTAAACCTTAAAATAATCTTTAAAGATGGCATTGCACTTAAATACTTGTGAATTTTGTAAGAAATCTAAAGGCATATAATTTTTCCGATCGTATTTTTCTATTTTTGGATATCTGTTTTGTTTTGTAAGTCATTTATTGGATGTTCCAGTTCTGGCTCATTGTGTTTTAAAATTTTTGTTTAGCCTGAATGACTTAAACTCCGAATCCGACTATTCCAGTTTATTCTTAAAATCCAGATCTAGTTGATAGAGTTGTAGAAAGCAATAAAAATACTCCGCTCACCCTAGAGACCTAACTAATCAATGGATTTACAGATTTCCAATCCAGATGTTTGGGCTGCACTCAAGTCGTTTCAAGATCGAGGGAAAATCGGAGATAGGAAAATCGGAGTGAACTACCTAAGCGACCTAAGGTGGCTGGGTGGGTCGATATCTACAGGTAACACCGGGTCTCAGGTAAATGGTAATGCGCGAGTGCAGCTTGAGCGTAATTTCGAACGGTGAGCGGGAACCAGCGGCGATCGCTGGTTCGTTCCGCCCGAGAGGGAAACCCACCCAGATCGTAAGAGAGACTCGCACTCCGCTCGGGAATCGTAGCTCGTTCTGCTGGCTCTGGGAATCTGGCGTCGGTGTCAGTAGGTTTTTGAACGCCGCTGAGAGCAGCTGCATATTTTCGAGATACGGATACGGGTATGCGAACCACCGAGTATTGAGTACTGAATACAGAGTAGTGCTTTGAAATCACAGCTCAGCACCACTGAGCAACCACCAAGCTGCACGCACACCACTTCAAAATGCAGTTACGAATGCAATTCCAGCTCCACAGCTGAGTCTGTCTGCGTGTGTGTGCGAGTGTATCTGTGGGTGCGAGTGTTTGTACTTGTGTATAATATAAATCTTAAATATGCAACAAAGTTATAAAAAAAACAAGAAACACAAAACACACAAAAAACAGACAAAACCCATAAATTTTAGCAGCGAAAACGAGTTTTCTAAGTGTCAAAGTGGCAGCAATAAATTTAAATGCGAGCGGAGAGCTCAAAAAAGACGGCCAGGAGCAAAAGAATCACTTAAGTGTGCGAAGGGGTCGTCGCAGTTCGGTTCTGGCCAACTGGCAGGTTGCTGTTGCCAATGTTAGTAGCAACACCTTCAGACACCACAAAAAAAGAAAAAAAAACACCAAGGAAAACGAAACAAAATGAGAGAGAAACAGTGGCAACAACCGATCGGATACGATCGCGACCGCTCCGCTCCCAAAAAGAAAATACCTTAAAACCAGTTTCTTTTTTTGTCTTTTTCGAAAAAAAATTTATTGAAAGAAAAGAAAAGAGGCAGGAGTTGAAGTTGGGTTGAAATGAAGTGCTCTCCGCGTATCTGTGTGTGTGGTGTCCGTGTTGATGTGTGCGTCGTGGTAAGATTGAATGTTCAGTGCAGAAGCTGATGCATTTAAAAGGAGTAGCTGCCGTTGCGCAGATACAGATACTTTGCGACTTTAATTGCTGTGCGCATGCGTGCGACAGAGACGACTCTATGTGCTCTGCGTACGGTGGTGTGTGTGTAGTGTGCGTGTTGCTCTCGGAGTTACGGAGTTATACGATCTGTCGTGCCGAAATGAAATACAGCCAAAACACACACATAAAGCACACAATAGCCCCGAAAGGCCGAAAAAAATTTGCATATAAACAAAAGAGCCAAGAAGAAAGCAAACCAGAACCTGATCCATGGCGAGTCGAAAAGTCGAACTCAAATCCAAAAACCACCGAAAAAGTGGAAAAAGAAAACAAAACCTCAAGTGATTTGGGCTCTTTTGGTATGGGGACAAAGTGAAATTTATGCGTGGGTTGACAAAAAAGCTGTACCGGTTCTGAGAGACCAAGTTCTTGAGATGAACTTGTTAGCTATACTGGAGTGGTTGGGGGATAGAGGGTCGCGGGGAGGGCATTCAACCTAGGCGAGCTTAGCGCAGATTAGATTAGATTGCACAACATATAATGGAGAGAGAGCAGCTATGCCAGCGATGTTCCTAGCAAACAATTCCGGCACTGCCCAAGCACTTACTTAATTGTAAGTGCGGCTTGTCGACGATAACGCCGAGAAGAAAGGGGAGGGGTACTGGTAATGGCACTAGTACTGGGTCTCAGATTGGGAGTGGAGAGGAAATATGTTCGTATATGTACATATGTACGGTGGTGAAATAATTTGGAATATGTCATGTCTGTCCTAGATAACGCACAAGGCAAACACAGCACACAATTAAGTATGGCAAAGAAAAAGCGATTGCAGAGCACTGAGAGAATGGGAGCTTGTGCGATATCCCACATCCTAGTCCCAAGGGAAAGAAGTTAATATCAACTCTTTGGGGAATATGAAAACTTTTTAGACACAATGGTCTTTTTTTGTACTTTTTGCAGTGTAAAAGTGCTCATTTGATTATTGTTCTCTTGTCCATTTGCAGTTAGCTTCGTTGCAGCAGCACACCAACCATCAACATGGCGGTCTTTGGCATGGTCTCGGCTGTGTCCGGCTTCATCAAGATACGCTATCTGCTGGACAAGGCGGTCATCGACAACATGGTGTTCCGCTGCCATTACAGGATCACGACCGCCATTCTCTTCACCTGTTGCATAATCGTTACTGCAAACAATCTGATCGGTAAGTTAGCACCTTCTTTAGTTCGATTGCACCCAAAATTAGTGGAGCTATGCAACTGTTTAGCACCCGAGTAGCCTAGTTTGCACTTGCAATTGCAGCAATGTTGCTAATGCAGCACTAAAATCCATGAAATACGATTCGACCCATTTGAAATCGAACTCATCAAAACAGAAATGACAAGCCACCAGAAAAAAAACTCGTGCAGAGCTTTCACAAATTGGCCGCAACACGTTTATCAAATTTCAGCTTAAGCCATTTATTTGAATGACTCATTCTTTGGTCGCCACGGGTGGTGGCCTGTACTCAGCCTGAAAGTGGCGTGAAAATCAATGTATGTGGTTCAAGTTGGGCTAAGTGAAGTGTCTTACACAATGATACTTGTAATGGATATTAGTTTACAATCTCATGTACTTTCAAAAAGCCTTTACAAGAATACTTTTACAGTAAGAGCAATATAAACGGGGTGATTAGAAAAATCCCTAAATCATTATTAACAGCACTAAATTAATAAACATCATTTTTAGTACAAATTATAATAAAAAATGATAGTAATAAAAGAAGTTAAAGTTTCCCACACGCGATTAATTAAGTTCAAACCGGATCAATAAAATTTAACTTTAACAAACTAAATATTACATAATTACAAAAAAATATCACTTGACTTTAATACCCATTTCATGAATCTTTAACCAGATCTAGGCAACGCCTGCCTACCCAGCTTCAAACCAAATATTTGTGCATTAAAAGAAGTGCTCTGAAAGTGAACAACTGACAAAACCACAGTCAAATATTGACAGTTGGTTCTGGGAATTCCCCAACCCCGCACCCACCATCCTCTGCACTTCGTCCATTTGTATCCACTTTGTTTGCCCAAACAGTGGTGGAGGAGGCAGAGTTAATGTTGAAGTTGGGGCGCACCCAAAAAAAGTCTTTCTGTCTATCTACTTGTCCGTCCGCCTGAATGTTGCAGGTCTACCTAGGCACGTTGCTACGTCTGCGAGCGACCTGCAACCGTAATAAATGTAACCGTACAGCAACCGCACCCACAGATCCGACAAATTGGGACTGTGGAGCTGGGACCAGAGATTGCCCTAATGGCACTTGACGTTGACGAACGGCTGGCGAGGTTGCTGGTGAGGAATGCGCGTGTATTTCTCTCGATTCGAATTGCGACGAGGTCGAATGTATATCTACAAATTATCTTTATCTTTGCGCTTGCAGGCGATCCCATTAGTTGCATCAACGATGGCTCCATACCGATGCACGTGATCAACACTTTCTGCTGGATCACCTACACGTTTACGATACCTGGTCAGCAGCATCGGCAGATCGGAACGGACGTGGCTGGACCGGGTTTGGGCAATGATTATGGCCAAGAGAAGCGCTACCACAGCTACTATCAATGGGTGCCATTCGTGCTTTTTTTCCAGGTGAGTCGAGTCAAAAAAAATATGAATTTTGCATAATATGGAAGAACTAATCTGAACAATTATAAACCATTGTTTAAAGTTTATTGTTTAAACTTATATTAATACATTTTTGTATTAATGTTTCAAAGTGTAAGAAGTTTATTCTTATTATTATTATTTATTAATCTATATAATTTTAAGCTAAATTAAGCTTTTGATACATAGCTCCTTAATATGTCTTAATATGTCCGGACCATTTTGTCTGTGATCTTAATTGAAGTCTTAATACAGCAAGAACCAATTACTTATTGTTCACTTTAAGCGTGACAAATCTTGTGTCTTTAATTTAATGTAATTCTTACTTCCGTCCAAACTAAACTGTTTATTATTTCAGGGACTCATGTTCTACGTGCCCCACTGGGTTTGGAAGAACATGGAGGACAACAAGATCCGCATGATCACCGATGGACTGCGCGGCATGATCAGTGTGCCGGATGATTACCGACGGGATCGTCAGGACCGGATCCTCAAGTACTTCGTAAACAGTTTGAACACCCACAATGGCTACTCATTCGCATACTTCTTCTGCGAACTGCTAAACTTTGTCAATGTGATTGTGAATATCTTTATGGTGGATAAGTTTTTGGGCGGTGCTTTTATGTCCTACGGTACGGATGTGGTTAAGTTCTCCAATATGGATCAGGACCAGCGCTTCGATCCCATGATAGAGATATTCCCCCGACTAACCAAGTGTACGTTCCACAAGTTTGGTCCCAGTGGATCGGTTCAGAAGCACGACACGCTCTGTGTGCTGGCATTGAATATCCTAAATGAGAAGATCTACATCTTCCTGTGGTAAGTACTTGAGTATGGTTATTTATTCGAAAGGATCTTCAATAGTTATTTCTTATCAAAGGTTCTGGTTTATCATCTTGGCCACCATCTCCGGCGGTGCTGTGCTGTATTCATTGGTGGTTATCATGATGCCCACCACCCGGGAGACCATCATCAAGCGTTCTTATCGCTCAGGACAGCGTAAGGAAATCGCCGGCTTGGTCAGGCGCTTGGAGGTGGGTTATTCTTTAAAATACCTCCTCTAGACTAGGTTTTAATCAATTGTTTTCTCTTACAGATTGGTGACTTCCTGATCTTGCACTTCCTAAGCCAGAATCTCAGCACAAGATCATACAGCGATATGCTGCAGCAGCTTTGCAGCCTGCTCGGAGCATCCCGAACCCCATCGGCCCCATCGACCCTGGAAATGAACCCCATCAGTCACCCGATATACCCGCCCGTAGAGAGCTTCGGCGGCGGCAAGGAGACGGAGACATGAGCCCACACCTCCGGGGTGGCTTCAAAAACAATGATTTCAATGATTTCTCAATAATATTTGTAGGGGGGACGATAGAGAGAGATGTGTGTCATGAGGTTAGGCATTTCCATTTCCACCACTAAGACTGCAAGAGAACGAATTAACAATTGCACTTTCGGAGATCCAACTCAGTAATATTCTATGCGAAATATATTTAGCAAAATTATAAGAAAGCAATCTTTGAATTCGGTCCTAGGCAAGTGAAGGACAGGTGCAGTTCGTCATTGACACGAGGTGAGCCACAGAGTGAGACATCAAGGGAGGAGATACTAATACGAGAGGGACATAGGCAGACCGTGCAATTTGTAGGTTGAAGATTGAACGACGAGGTGGAAGAGGTTGACGAGGATAACCCCATCAAGCGATTTTGCTACTTGGTATCGTAGTTAGGTCGTTGACAATGATGCGCCATTTTAAATATACAATTAAGTTTAACAGTTAGCTCGATAGTGGATAGTTCGGATCGATCGATCCCATACTGAAGAATACCTATGCAGCTAATTATATCTGCTTATCGCTCACGCACGCTCACGAAACGTTGATCTATATAAAATTGTAGTAATCGAATGATACGAGTACGACGAGGAATATAATTATGAATATTTAAAAGAGTATACACAAATGCTCTCGCTATTTTTGTCCTAACATTTAGTCTACAGATATATCGTAATTTTAAGGAATTTTGTTTATAACAAAATTATTGTGATTATTGCTAGAAAAGAACACATTTTACATAAAACAAAAGAGAACCAAGCTATCTAAGTTCAAAGTTGTAATAAATATTCTATATACAATTTCAGCTAAACTTCGGCTTTATCATTAGAGGGAAACGGTGTGGGAAATATAAATGTGAAGGTCGGATGTTCTTGCAAGAGTATTGCATTACAACTAAAGTAAACAAAGGAAAACGTCAAGAGCTACATGATTTTGCTTTGATAGATTAGATTGTTAGAAAAATTATGAATTATCGTTGCTAAATTGGTTTACTGTTTAAGAATTTTGTATTTTATCCATCATGGTTTAAATATTGCTTGACTTACCGATTGCCCCAATCGATTTTTGAAACCACAACCATCTGAAGCTCCAGTGTCTGATCTTGAGTCATGGTGGCACTCAAGAGTTCCCGACGACTTTCCAATATGGAAAACATAACTTTGCGCAGGGTTTGGAATTTGTACGCTTCGCGATCCTGAAATATATTTGAAAGTAGTTAAACGTTTGAGCTTTATAATTAATGTTTAATTAACTCACCACATAGAGTCGTTTCCAGATCTCGGACCATTCGCGCAGGACCTGCGTACATTCGGCGACCACGGGATCGATTTTCGACAAATCCTTAATGTTTATGTAGGTTTTTGGAAAGAGGCCCACAGCCCGGGATTTTCTGGGACAGGAGCCGCGATACCAGTACTTGCACTCCTCCACAATGTCCACAGAATCGCCGACGTCCAGTGCCAAACCAAACCGGACATCGCCATGCCAATTGTGGATGGCTGTTGGAAAAGAAGAAGAAATGTGAAAATGAAAATGAGAGCAGGAAAAGTTAGTCTTAGAAGCGGTTGGATTACAACCAGTTGCGTTTCCACTTCTTGGCCATGACATTGCCCCAGGATGGACGGCGTGGCAATTAAAGTGCCCCCATGAGTGGCCACTTGAGCATGCCACGAGTGGCCCAGCAACAATAAATACTTCAACTATAAATAGGCAAATGGCTATGAAAAGAAAACGTATGCATCCGAACGTATTTTTATGGAGCCAAGCGTATGTATACGGGGGTGTCCCTTTGTCGAGCACGGAACAATGAGCAGCACTTGGCCACGCCGGCAATCGAACACTTTGGCTCATGGCTCCTCCAACCCAAGCTGGAGCTAACTACGAGCCGGAGCTCAAACTGGAGCCACATCGCCGGGCTGCGAAAAATGCTGGATACATCCGCAATGCTAGATATAGTGGTAACGATTACACTGCCAACTTTGGTTTTCTTCTCTGGCCCAATCTCACTTAACTGAAAATTCTTTTATGTTCGGTTGGGTGAAACAAGCCATCTGGAATCTAAATTGGAATTCTACATTTTTCATTGAGTTTACTGAACTCAGTCATCATATTCAGCAAATTATTTTTGGAAGAACTTGAAATATTGTTAATACACAAGCTTCTTAAATTAATAATTTATAACTAAATATGGATTTTTGAATATGTTTGCACTTTCAAAACCATATTTATATTAAGGCAAATTAGTAAATAAATTAGCGTATATATACATGATTTTGAATGATGATGATTTTTTGATTGAATTTTTAATATTCATGCTTCGAGCATTATTTTAGAATAATAAATGTATTCATTAGTGAAGTGTTTTGGTAATAAACTCAGGGAGTACAAACAAATCTCACGAGAATTTTTTGCCTGGAATTTCCCCATTATCCGACCTGATCTTAGACTACATAAGGCTTATTTAAATTCCGGGCAGGCCATTTCCGATTTTTCGCCGTGTATCAATTACAAATGCAAGGCACACACTCTAGTATAGGAGGCGCCGCAAGACGAGGAACACGGCCCAGCTAGGGTGGTGCTGATGTTGGTGGTGGTGCTTCTGTTGCTGCTGCTGGTGGTGGAGGTGGAGGTGGAGAAGGTGGTGGAGGTGGTGTCTGTGGGGCTGGGTGGATGTGGATGTGGGCTCCCTTGTTGAAAGACAAACGAGCGAGCACGGCATGAGCATATCAACGAAAGGAGCTAATAAAACGCACGCCCAGACAGACAGAGGGATTCGGAGGCGGGGAGATGTAAAATGAAATGCTTCAGTGCCATGAAAATGGGCAAACTGCTTCCTGTTGTTGCTACTGTAGCTGTTGCTGTTGCTGCTGTTGCTGTTGTAGCTGTTGCTGTTGCTGCTGTAGATGTTGCTGCTGTAGCTGTTGCTGTTGCTACTGTGAGTGCTTTATGGTTGCTGATGCCTTTGCCTTTGCCGGAGTATCTCTTCTTTATTTCAGCTATAGTTTCGACTTTGCCAACCGCCGCTAACTGGCTTCAATTTGCACTGCTCGTTGTGAATGCGGCAGACTGATTTAAATGAATTCTGGAGATGCTAAATAGCAAGTATTTTATAATTCAAAATGCCAGTTGAAGACCCCGCTCCGGACTTGGCTCTTCAACTGGCGCGGGCAAACACTTCAGAAAATGAGCATACATACCCACACTTCGGCACTCAGAAAATACTTCAGTGTTTCATATTTCAAAAGGATCAATAATTCCATAAATAATTCTATATATGGACTTTATTCTCCACTTAAAGTTTGAAATAATAACTTTTGGTAAGAAGACATTATCATCTGACTACCATTTTAGCAGGAATATAAATGCAAACCTTTTTAATTTATTTGGCTGAGTGTACATTCTCACACATCCCGGATTCCGCAGCGCAGTAGGCAAAATGCCAGCCAAGCGTTTGCACTATTTAGGTCAGTCACATTAGGCAGGCGTCAGCTGGCAAGCAGCTAAAGCTGGAAAACCCCCTCACAATTACACTCACAAAACAAAATGGTACTTTAAACAAAAACCGAGCTTCCACTTACGGTCGAAACAGGATTTCAAAAATGTTTGCTTACTTCAAAACCTTATTTCTTACAATCCGTTTATGGTTGTCATTAAACATTTCATTAACATTAAAAACATAAGAATCAAATTGATATCGGTACTTTCTATTCAATTATATAATATTTAATTGTTATTATAAAAAGTTATAAAAGTTAAAACATTCTTTATCGAAGTGTACATTTGTAGTTTTTTCTCCTGGTGCGTTTATAATTTTAATGAGCGTTTAGCCAGCTTAGGGAAATTTAATATTAAATTTAATAAAGTTGACTTAAAGTGGCACTGGAAATTGGCAGGATCATCATCATAGGGTTGAGCCCCATAATTACTTTTACGATGAATGCAATATCCCAAAAGGCTTGGCTTACATCACTCTTTTTGTTTGCCCGCATACAAAGGGCAAAATGGGGTAAAAAGCTGGGGTAGATAGCAAAGAAGAAGCGGAACAGAGAACACAATACTCACTCCAACAAGTCCGCAATGTCAACAAACGTATTTAAATAAAAAAGTCGTTAAGGCAAGTGCATGCGAAATGGAAGAGGGGCGAACAGAAGGGGCTCTAGGCGGAAAATAATTTTAAATTAAATGAGAGAGCATTGCCTGCACTACTTGCTGCGACTGAAATCGCAGCAGAAGGAGAAGCTCAACTGCAAATGGATTAAATGAGCTGGCGATTTGCAGGGGCGTGGCGGGCAGCCCGCAAAGGGGGGGCCCAACCTCACACTTGACCCCCCTGCGCGTCCACATCCGTCTCCGCATCCGCCGCCGCCTCAGCACTGAAGTGCCGCTGGGGAGGCTTAAGAATTTAATTAATTAATTGTGTTATAACCAACAATATGAGGTCGCCAACAAAGTGGAACTCGCCGGCTGCGGAAAGGGAAACCGCCCGAATGTGGGTTAAGTGGTTGGCCTAAAACCACTAAAATTAACTTTGAATGGGTTAGGGATATCGCTTCTCCAGGGAATAAATCGTAATTATCACATTGCGCATTACTGCACGCTTCCACTGCTTATAATTACATATACGATTTTATACTTTATCTAATCCATTTAGAACATTCATGGCACATTCAAAACTGGCACAATCATGCTGAAAATATTTAAATTAAAATATATATTTGACTTACAAGGCAAACGAGTTTTGGGGAAGTTGTCTCAGACAATGACAAGTTCACATTTGGGAACAATAACAATACATTTTTTAAATGCATGACAAACAGTATATTTGCTTACATATATTTATGTCGAACTCTATTTCGCAGCTTATAATCGGTTAAGTTGTTTCTATAATCTATACGATACTGATAAGGTAGATTATAAAAACTGTCCAACACATTAAAAAGAACCAAAATTCTTTGAGTACAAATAATTAATAAATAAAGGGATTCCCCGTTCGTTATTTGTTTACTCCCTAAAGAAAAATAGAAAATAAACTTTACTGCAGTTAGAAAATCTTATAAAGTAAAATGTTAAATTACAAAAAAGGCCTTGTTTTTTTAAATTAACTACCAAGTTATCTCCTTAGTCAATATAAAGGAACTGATTACCTTTCCAAAACGCTTGTGACCTTAAAGGTTCAGTATATTTTAATGACTTATTTTCATTTACGCTTAAAAAAAAGGCATAAGACCAGTTTAAACGTTCTATTTGGTTCGCCGGAATCGCTTGAAACCTGTCCTGAGGAGGAAGCATGACCCAAATGTCAATCAGATGTCATTATCACAGACATTGTCTGAATAATAGAGTTGGTTGAATGGATGCTGGCTCACTTGCTCCGTACAGAGAGCGATCTCCCCGCTTGACAAAGGCGTGTTTCCTCCATTGTCAAGTGGATTTTATTATAATTGTGAGTTAGTGCCACATCAGTTGGAGAATAAATGGGTATGTAGATATGTGTAAGTGTGGTTGGGGCCTGAAAATATTTGCTTATTATATGCATTTTGTATCTCTCGATGTGGTTGGCATTACTGTAATTAAATGCATTTCATATATGCCACTCAATTGAGTGCTTGCACACTTGTTTGTTTTTTGTTACTGTTTGCATTTTGTTTTCGCATGTAAATGAGCATTTAAAACCAACATGGCGCACATTTAAGGCTGACAATTTGTATGTTCATTTTTGAAAATTTATATTTAAAATCATCCAGCCGTGCCAATCAATAAGCAGCAACTGTTATTGACCCTTTCCCATCAATGAACCCTCTATTTGGTGCACCAGCGGAAGAACTTGTTAATTATTTGTATAATATATTTACTTCTTGCTCATCTAAACACTTTATGAGACAGGTAACTTCTTATCTTTTTTGGCTTATCGAAGGAAAGGGCTACTTCCTCTAGGGGGATATCAATAGCTTTTCCTACTCTAACCCCATACGAATGCATTTACATAAATCACCCGTCCTTCCGGCAATGTGACCGATAATGCGCCCAAATGCGATATACTGATAAATTTCGAGAGTGCGTGTGTTCGTGTTGTTAATCATACGCCGCGTGTCCCGTAAATGGCAATTCATAAATAAATCTTTAAAGACGAATTATGGAAGTACAACTCAATGGGACGAGTGTTTCATACGCACAACTCGAAACAGAGAAAAAAAAAAACAAAAATGTTGCCGCCAAGCATATTAAACAATGGAAATGAATCAATGTTATGCGCACTCATGTGTGCGGTTGTGCGTTCTAAAGGAAGGAAGCTCTGCACAAATTTGTGCGCGGCTTCAGTGGCCAAATGCATAAAATGAATATTAAATTAAAGTTGAAACTGAAATTGCCGCAGCGACAGCGGAATTCACTGGAAAAGGCAGACAGCCAGGCAGAAAGTCGGAGCGGCAACATCCGGTGCCGCAGGCCGGGCCTTGCTTTTTCCCTCCCCAGATTCATTTAGATTTTTTGGCAGAAAAGTTGCGTAAACTTTCAGCTTCAAATCTAAGTTTGCAACTCCCGAGTGGAGTGACCCGCATGGCCAGGCGAAGAGTTCCGAGGGTTGCTTCGCAGAATTGTCACCATTGTGCACTCGACTCACAGCACAATTGAGGGCAACAACTACAGTCGTACTTCTCTTAGTTCAACTTTTCCAAATTCAAGTTTCCAAAGGCCTTAGCAACAAAAAAATACATTTTCATTTTGCCAATCAAGAGTTAGCAAATGGTTACTGATGATAGTAAATGAATTTTTATTGTAACAGCTTTCTAGTCAAAGTTGCTTCTGAATGCAGTTCGGAAAAGGTTCGTTTTAAAAAAAACATTTTACCGAGAGTACCAGTATTGTAATGAAAAAGTAATTTTGATATAATTTGTCAGTTTTGAATTCAATTTTTTTTTATAGAGGACTTGAAGGAAGCAGGTTAACGTATCTTTAAAACGATCTGCAGTTTTAATTTCCATATTTAATATGCATTCCCAAAGTAATAATGATGTATTTGAACATATCTTTCGATAACCGATGGTGGTTTTTAGTTATTGACGTTCGACTGTATATGCAGCAGCGGTACAGTAATTACTTATAGGGGAAAAAGGAAAGGGCCGCAGACAAAGAGTGCGCTGGTAATGAAGTCATTGCCCAGCAGTTGCCCAGCACGTGGCGCTGGCAGATGAAAGGCCACTGCGGCAGGAACGGACTGCGACTGGGACTGGAACTGGGACTAAAAGGAGGCGGTGCTGGTGACACAGGGGGAGGGACCGGGCATTGTGCAAGGTTAGGGCGTTGGCTTGACAGCGCATCGAATCGCTAATGATGTTAACACAGCCTGGATCGCTGCTCGACGACTGACTGATTGATTTGTGTAAACTTTGACCTCTCCCATGTGGAGCAAACATCAGCGAGCAGCAGCAAAAAGCTGTCTCCATGAAAGATGGGGAACTGGAGCAGTTTAACACAACAACGAAGCAATAAAGAAGAAAATTTTAATGGCATATCGAATACGAGACACACTTAAACTTTAAGCTCCACTAAATGGGAATGATTCAAATAATATTGTACTTTGTTTCTAGTGAAAATTTTTTAAAAGAAATTATTTTATAGGTAAATGTTTATATTATTTTTAATCATCGATTCCGTATTGTCAAACTACTTATTGTTTAACTATTTTAACTTTAAAACTACAATTGCATTATTGGAGAACTCTTTGGTTTACTCGTAATTAGTGGCCACTTCATTTTTGGATCGATTTTGTCAGCTTGATATTATGAGGAACATGCCGAGCATCATATAAACAATGAAAATTGGCGCTTATCTGGGCGGAAAGCCATTGAAGCGGCACAATGAATAAAACTTGGCACAGAGTCTGCTACTGAAGATGCTGCCTGTAGAATACATCGCAGACATTTACTCTGTCGTTGGGTCTTTTATTTTATTTTGCCCACATCCCTGCCATGTCCCCTTAGTAATTTGTTAAGCGTTGCCATTGAAGCGAGAAGTGTGACGAATACGGAGATAATGTGAAAATCCAGTTGAAGAGAAAACAACAAGCACAATAAGTTTCACTAAGTGCGCACAAAGAATATCCAAGATCTACTTGTATTGTTCGCTTGTGTGTTATCAAAACACGCAACTTGATTTTCTACGGCCGTTACACAGTGGTAACCGTAAAGATATGGACAATATACTAAGTGATTGCACAGAAGAAAGGGATTTCACCAATTTATTTATTTAAAAACTTGATCTTGATGTTGTTTAATAATCACAAATTCAATAGATAAAAATATCTTGGGATCCCAAAATTTATGAGCCAATAAAATGGGTAAAGAATTTATTTGTTGTTTTAAACGAATAGAACCTATTTACTTTTTCTAACTTTATATAATATATTAACATATGTATATGTTTCGAGCGTTCTCAGAAATTAAATCTTTAATATTATATATTACTTTTTAAATATGTATGTTATTTCCCAAAACTTTTAAGTAGAAAATTCTATTAATATTTTTAAAATCCTAAAATATTTAAACCTCTTTTCGATTGCAAGAAATGTTTGTTTTTTATTTTAAATATTATTTTTTTCTCTGACAGTTTTTTCGAACAAAAACAATGATTTCATGATGAACCAAAACTTTTTTATGTGTGTAATTACGAAAGCATTTAAATTGGCAGCACCTGGGCTGGTAAATTGGCAACGCGACAGAAAAGCGCTGTGCGGGAAAACCGTGTGCGGGAAAACTGTGCATATAAACACATCAAATCGCAGCACGGCAGCAACAACAAACAGGAAAATCTTTTTGAGATACATGATGGGTTGAAAAGGGGAAGTGGGCGGTGGGCTGGGGGTTGATGATGCTACAAAACAGTTTGTGTACAAAAATAAGAAGAAAAATCGCTTTTCCTCCCCTCTTTAAAAGTGCGGGGGTAGTTGGTATCCGGCGTTTCGCGGAAAAACGCGTGAATCGACACAAAAGGCAACAATAAAAACAAAGGCCACGCACGTGACGCCCAGCGGGGGGTGGTGGGTGGTTTGTTGGGTGTAAGAGTGGGTGGTGCGTTTCATTTTATTTACTCACCAACTCCGTATTTGTTGTTCGAAGGTATCCACATTTTGTCGCTGGTTGTGAGCTTCAAGTTTAGCCGAAAAATTCCAACTTAGCCTGCCACTCCCTGCATTTAAAATTTATCAAGCGATTTTTGCAGATACACCCTTTTTTACTGGCAAAGATTTGCATTTGAATTCAAATTTGCTTTTATTATTGCCTATATTTATCCACCACTTTTCGCACAACACACATACAACACTAATGTATACAAACGTATTCAATAAAACTTTCGCTTTTGTTGTTGTCCCTATCTCTCCCTTTCTCACTTAATCTTGTTTAATAACTACAACTACACAACAACAACAATTGCACTTGTCTACATTGTTGTTTCTGTCGCTGGAAAGCAAAGATCGCGGTTCCAATTGGCAATGATTACCGCTAGGTGGAAGAAAAGGAAGTAGCTGATTGGGAAGTCTGGAAGTGGTTGCTTTTGCTTTTGTTGCGTTTTTCACGGACCCGCGCACACACAAACAAGAAAATCAATACGAATTTCGAATTTCCAATTGCACTTTCAGTTGGATTTTTCCCTCTTTGCGATTTTAGTTGCTTGACTTTTGGCACTGATAATTGTTGTTGTTGGGCGACGCACTCGCGACTAACTTTTGTTTAGTTTTTTTGCGCTGTATTATTTCTTGCGTTCTCCGTGCCGCAGCTTCGCGTCCCGGGCGCTGCAACGACAATTTTGTTCACCGCCACAGCTGTGAGTAGTGTGACCGAGAAAAATCCCAATCAATATACCTGAGAAATATACTTTTTATACCATTTTCATTTAAAAAAATACCACACTATTTTTTTAAATAATTTATTTTTTACTTATATTTGAATATCCACAGACATCTTTACCAAAAAAAAAAAACAGACGAAAAAACTTGATTTCATGATGATTTTGTTCCCTTTTATATTTCTTAAAAGACTCAAGTAATCCAATCAATTTAAATCCTAAAATAAATTGTATTAATATGGCTTTGCTATTTTTTATAAGATCCTATGAGATTGAAAATAAGAGATTTAAAAAAGGAAAACAATTATTTTAAATAATGTTTATTATTTGAATTAAAAAAAATTCGTTGCAAATATTTTACCAAAATGCCATGTTGCCAAAGTTTTGACTTTTTGGAAACTTTCAAACAGATAGTTTTTAAACTAAGGGACTAGTTTGGGTAGAAACGGACGGACGGACAGACAGACGGAGAGACGGACATGGCTAAATCGACTTTCCTGGTAATGCTGATCAAGAATATATATATACTTTATAGGGTCGGAAATGTCTCCTTCACTGCGTTGCAAACTTTTGACTGAAACTATAACACCCTCTGCAAGGGTGTACAAACTAAAAAAATAGCTCTTACCCTGCTGAATAAAATTTTTATAATTCGGATTTTTTTAAGTAATTTAATTTGCGAGGTGAAATGTGTGTGTCGATCTGCTTTACACTAAAACCTTAAAATAAACAAATTAAAAGACGCTAAGAAGGGCTTTAGGTGAATTTTCCCAATAATTGAACCGAATTCCACGCTTAAAATAAGCATACCTTTAACTTTTAATATGCATGATTAAATGACTTACTATATTAAATCCATTATTAAATTATTAATAATACAATTAAAAGTCATACAATTGTTAACAAAATAGATTTATTTAATTTTAGATGGTAATCATTAAGAAAACACAATACATACTAATCATTGCTTAAGGAGAACAACTACTCCTTTTAGTTTTCAGATGTACAACGGAAATGTCCGGTCTTACGTCTTCTTCTGGATAATCTTAAAGGTATTATGCCGATTCAGGACGTAGCTGAGGGCAGTGGCAGCTGTAGTTAGGCCAGTCAGATACCAAAGGCCATGCAAAGCGGGATGATCTGTGTTGGAATAGTTAAAGATTTCGTTATTTTATGTGTGATAAGGCTGCGGAAGTATAAGTATATCTGACCCAAATAGTTCCAAATAGGAGCTCCCAAACTTAGGCCAATGGTTGCCAACTGCACGCCCGTGTTGATCTTGCTGAGCAAAGTGGGCTCCAGTTGAGCAGTAACATGGGTGGCATCGAAATAGCGCGAAAAGGTTTTCTACGGAAGAATGGTTCAAATGTGATACACTATCGAAACCAAGGGGACAGCCTCACTCACCGGCGGTGGCAGACTAATGTAGCGTATAACAAATCCAGCTCCTAAAAGAAACACATCCCGGAACACAACGATGCCGGTAAGCCACACGGGCAACAGATCCGTGTAGCACAGCGAGATGACCAGCGAGCCCATCAGTAACTTGTCGGCCATGGGATCCAAGAAGGAGCCCGCCTTGCTCGCCTGCGAGGGCCACCGGCGGGCGATCTGTCCATCCAACTGTGGGATATAAAACGATAAATTAATAACTACATTAGGATGCATGGTAATGTGAGGAACTAACCAGATCGGTGACCCCGGCGATGGCCAACAGACTCATGCCCAGAGTGAAGTCGCCCTGGACGATCACATATCCAATGTAGGGCGATAGGAAGGCGCGACTGATGGTCAGCATGTTGGGTATGGTCATGATATTCTCGCGCTCCTCACGGATCTCGTCAATCTTCTCGCGAACCCGCTCCTGGACTTTGTGCTTCGCCTCCCGGATATCATCCACGAGGAAGTTCTTCCTATCGATGACTCCTTGCAGGAGATGGCGACCCTGCAGGGTGCGCAAGTGGAGGGATTGCTTCTTGGCATCGGCATAAAGACGAAGTCTGGCCAATTCCCAGTTCCTCCGGCGCTTGATGTCCAGGAAAGAAATCCGAATAAATCCGGTGGCGGCGGCATGGCGATTCAGGCAGTTCACAAAGCTACTCCCACCGACTCCCAAAACGTGCTCCAAAGTGGCGGCTCCATGATGCAGTGGCCGCTGCACCTGCCGGAAAATGATGGCTGGCAACATGGGTTAATTATCGGGCAATCCCTGTCTCAACTTCAGACTGCTCCTCGCGCTCTGCAATCAAATAAAACCAGCAATCAGATCCGATCCGTAACCTTGGTTCCAAATAGATCGTGCAACGACCCTTGGACATTCTTTATCACCACTCCGAAAAAAACCCACCATTTGTGGGTTCCTTTATTACTGGTTGCACCTCGGTGCAATACGAAATCTGTTTGGTACAATTAATTCAATTAATTAACCAGACCACACCATTTACGGAAATTTTTTAACAATTTTGTCTTGTTTTTATTACACAAGCAGTGTGACCGCGCCGATAACGATAAGAAATACCATCCGGTCCAAATAACAAGCCGTCATATAAAATTTCGATTTTCATTCTATTCTTTACATAGTAAACCGAAATTGCCGACGCACAAAACATGTGTAAATTTAAAATTAATTTTAAATCAAAGAAAAGTATAATATAATAAAATAATTTGACTTGGCGCTCAAAGCTTCAAAATCGATACTTACCAGGGATGCAAATTCCTGAAAGCCTATCGAAAATCGAGCTAGAGGTGGTTAAACACAGATATCACTATCGATGGAAATGCACTAAATAGCCGTTTTTAAATAATTAAAACTCATCATCTAACGGTTTTTTAAATTGGTGAGCTTAATTTGATAGAGTTTTTTTTCCAGTTGTAGAGATATTACCCCTTTGACTTCTTAATCGTATTTGAGTACAATAACAAAATGCTTCTTAATGTTATGAAATGCTCTTGTGATTGTGAATTCACAGAATACTTATTATCAGTATATACGCATGTCCTTTGTAGTTATAACTTTGTGATTACAGCTCTTATTATTATTTTTATGTTTGTTTATGTTTCTTATGTTTGAGACTTTCTGCTGTGTTTGTAAGTTTTCAGAAAAATCACTTATAGTGACTGAGTGACTAGTTAGTGTAGAATCTATATCTATACTAGAGAATTGAACGACAATTAATCTCCCATCATAAAATGACGAAGAATCGACCCGAAATAACAATTTGCAGATTTTTAGAGAGTTCATCATATATGATGATCTTCCGATTTTCATTAAGTAATGTAATGGACATAGTTGTAAGTTAAAAATCATAGCAAAGTAATACTCCTTACTTGGCTTTAACATGGCCACTTTCTGCAAGCTAACATTATGTTAACCTTAGAAGTTGGCGCGATAATTTGAATTCGCAGATTTGCGCTCTTTGGTCAGACTATAATAAATTTTTTCCGTCGACTGGCACATCGCATAAGGCTGCCGCTAAGACTGGCTCTGAATATATTTAATAAAGCCACCATTAATAAGGCAGACCGCAAGCTGCTCTGGACTTGTCAGTCGTTTAATTGGATTAAATTTAATTATGCTCCCACTTAACCCAGGCGAACGCTGCTCGGCGTCCGTCTTGGATATGCAAATTAAGCCGCGATTAACGTTTATTACATAATATAAACTTTGGCAGCGGCTCGACCATGACCTGACCCTATCAGCCGGCTAATGAATTTTCCCGAAAGTTGCCAAGGCGAATCTGTTCCACGTTTAATGGTCGCAATTACGGACATACCATCCCAGTTAATACAAGCGAACCATAGCAAATAATTATGAAAGACTGCCAGGCTGCATTTTTGCCAGAGCTGGCACAAAACAATCTCTTAGAAATATGGCCTGACGTTTCGGGTTGGTCGTTGAGTCACGTCCTTGGTATCATGGTATTTAAAGGCGAGGGAAAAGGCGATGACACCTACCTGAAATTTTCCCCACGGAAAGCAAGGCAATGCATCGACATTAATAATGAACTGCAGGCGAAGGTGTTCGCCTCAATAAAGTCCATGGCATGTCAACCGTCAGACTGCATGTTAATTTCCAGTATCCTCCTTCCTTTTTCCGATTTTCTGAATGGCACTCAGGGCTACTCAGTAGCTGTCTGCCATAAACAGGACGCTCGGGGAAAGCGGGAAATGCAGGAAATGCGGAAAATGCGCGACAGCGGAAGAGATTGACAACTTTTTGTAATGCCCTTTATAAGAGTATATAAAATTTGCATAAAAATAAAAACATAGGTAAAAAATAAATTAAAAAAATATGATTTTGTTTATATTTTTAAGCCCAGAGTCTTTTTTATTTGTATACTTTGCCAATGACAATTTGTTTTAAAAGATGAAAAGATAAATCTGTATCTGGATTATCATTTTTAATCCGCTTTAACGTCTTAATCTAGAGTGTCTTTTTAACTGACATTATAATACATTCTTCTCAAAGAGATTATTAGTTTGCGAAGGGAATTTTAGAAAGGTGTTTGATTCTTGTTGCTGTCTTTCCATTGCTTTTTATAATTTTTATTTGGCTTTTTTTCGCGCCTCATTGCGCTTCATTAATCAAAAGTAATTTTCCGCCGTTCACAGCCATGACTGCCTCCAAAGCCCCCCCCCCATTTTACCTGGAAAATTCTACCCAGTGAAGATGGCAAACGTCAGCAGCAAAAGCGGAAGAAAACCGAAGGGAAATGGCTGGAAAAAAACAAAATGATGGCGGCCATTTTGCATTAAGCCCGGACATTTGCCGTATGTGTGTGTGTATATGTGTGGGTGAGTGGGGCTAATTAACTGTTTTACATTAAGTGGCCATAAAGGCTCGCCATTTTAGTCTATTTTAATGCCCTTCGAGTGGTTTGGCGGGCGTGATCGGATCGGACAATGAAGAACTGCTGGCCATTAGCGGCCATCTCTATTTATCTCCGTCCATTCCCCCGAACATTTTCTTAAATGATTTACGACTGCTTTAAAGGCCAGAACCATAAAAACAGAAGCCAACTTCATCTGGTTGCCTGCTTCTCGGACTTTGGTGTTTTCCTTTGTGCTTAATTTAATTAAATACTTGCTCGGACTTTTGCTCTCTCCCTCTGTCGAAAATGGTTAATGTGGTCAGCATAAATTGTGGCCAGCTCATTTTGCTTTAAATCATTTGCGGCTGGGCTATAACGCCACGGCCCGAATAAACCATATAAACTGAACATGAACTGCAATTGGTTCAACTAATGAGAGAGAAGCCCGGTCTTAGTAGTTTTCTCCAGCAGTTGCGGTTTGAGATTTATTGTATAAAAGGTGTTTCTACACTGAGGCTTCTTTTTTTTTGGTTAATTTAAAAAATAAACCAGAACGAACTTGAAGTTTACATATTTTAAAAGAGAGCCTTGAATTATAAGCGTTTTTGAATTAAAAAATTGAAAAAAATAAATATTGGAATTTGGGCAACGAAAATTTGATAACAGCACACCAATTTTTTTTTGTGTAACAAGTGTCGTGCTAATTAATATTTTAATAGCAACAAATTTGATAGTTTTAGCAAGAGATTTTGTAAACCTAAATCAATGATTTTATTGAAATAATACATGATTAGAAAATCAGTTGGTTTGCCTTCATCTGAGTCAGTCAAATTTAAATTAAACGCAATAAATAATCTCCAGTGCAAACCAAATCAAATTTCTGTTCTGAGGTAAATCAAAAATCTGCACACAATTACAATTGGGTTTTGTGGCGGTAGAAGTTCAGGTTTTTGGTTCTTAAAGTTCGAAAATGCTCCAAAGTCCGCCCACAAATCACACTCCACTGACGACTAATTAGAGAGCAGAAAGCGGAGGGCAAAGGCAGCCCTTCAGAGCAGTGTAACAATGACTTTTCACAAAACTCGAACTATTTTCAAGCTGTGCAAAGGACTGCCCTCGTTCCAGGACCCCCATCTGCCACGCCCCTGCCCATATCCCTTTCCTCCGCCCCCCGACTTTGCTTTGTTTTAAGTTATAAACCCACAAGTGGCGGCAAACTTTTGCTTTACGGTGTCGCCATTTTTTTTTTCTAGAAAATTGGGTGGGATTCAACTTAAAAGAAGATTAAACCGCAGATGTTGGGGGATTCCCCTCCTTTCATTTATTTCGAAAGGGGTGAGTAGAACTTTGCCTGGACAGCGGCACTTGAAATGAGAACGTTTGGCGATTTTCAGGCGACACTTGTCGAAAGTTACGCGTAATTATAACAATGTGCGGGCTTCCTGGGAAATGTGCTGAAGTTGGGTGGTTCAGCCTGGTTTCCCGCTGAGGGTCCTTTTTAGTTTATGCCTAAAACCGGAACCCCTGGAATCAGCTCGAATGTGCGGGCGCCCTTTCCGACGGATGATAGGTGTTGGTCAAAGGGGCAGGGGCAACCGCAGACCAATTAACAAAAGGAAAGTGATAAGGGAAAGTTCAAAGGGTTCTTCTATTTACATATTTTGTTGAGATAACATGTAAAAATACACATATTTATGGTTAGAAGAGGGCTGCTATTGTGACTTTAAGCTTTAGAAATATCTAAATAACTTGTATTTAGGTCCTAAGAGAAATAAATAATCTCTTTAATTTACATAGAGGTTAAATAATTAGTTACAATATTTATATATGTTTTTGTTACTTAATCAAAAATGATTTTTTTAAATTTTATTTTTGATATGAAAGGACGTTTTCTTGAAATTATGTTTTTAAATCGTTTAAATTATTTTTGTTTGGACATAGTTTTACCTATTTACTTAAATTACCTCTTAGTTTCGCGAAAGGTTATAAAAATTCGTCTAGGCCTCGAATAATTGTGATTTAACAAACTCAAAATAGGAGCAAAACTCTTGGCTGTTGGTGCTTGAAAATGAAATTCTTTAAACCACTTAGGATGCGAATAAAAAATCGTAATTTTGTTTCAACTTGAGGTCCTTGTGACGCCATGGCGACAGCATTAATTCGCTTTTAATGTAATGAAGCCGCTTAAATGTCAAGACAATGAGACCGGAATCAGGAATCTGGGCTGAGGAAGAACCATCAATCAAAATTCCGACGAGGGCCGTATGAAAAACTATAATAAAATCATTAGCCTGGTAAATCCCCCAACGTTCCGGTACCAAAATAAAATCATCAGCCCGGAATGATGATGAATGGTCTCTGTGCCTCGGTCGGTAGGCCCAAGTGGCCACCAGTGGCACAGGCATTCTCCGGTCATGACAAAACTGGGAATCTTTCTGCACTCCAATTTCTTTTTAATAAACAAAGCCAAACATAGCCGCCCAAGCTTGGCAAAAACAAAGTGATTGTGTTTTGTATGCTTCAGCAGCTAACACTCAACGGCAAGTCGGAAAACAACAGTAAAAGCTATAGCCATGGCTCAACGGCGTCATTATCAGGAAAAACGTCTTGCATTGCTCTGGTCTCAGTCCCGTCCAGACTTTGAATCCATGAAAATTTCTTTTCATACCCTTTATGATAATTAT